CCCCGGGGGTATAAGGGCGCGAACACAGCAGACGTCCCAGTGCGTTACTATTTCCCTGATGCGTGACATGCAGAGAGTCTCCTCCGTGCCAAAAAAATACACATGCTCAGAAAACAACGCATTTCTGACGATCGTTCAGATCCACAATCCGAACTTCCTCACAAGCAAAATCCAAAATCCGGACCTAAAAAACTGACAAAACCGCGAACCGTTGCAATTTCAGAATCCGCAATCCGTTAAAATTTTGCTCTAAATCCGAAATCCGGGCAAAATAATTCTCAGAATCCGCCGATCCGTTAGCCTATTTACCCCCCTCCACTTACAACTTAATAATTTTACACTTGTTATAAGCACTGAAAGTAGACATTGCATGCCTATCATGTTCGCTCTTCTGTTGGCAGAACAAGGCAAGTCAATAAGTCATGTCTACAGTATTTAGTCGCTACTAGATGAATAGGGTTTATTACAGCGAGGAACGCTTTCGTATATTTTATGAAACCGAAGTACACATATATGATTTTCATTTATTCAAATTTATTGGCGGGTTTAATACGAACCAACATAATGACCTGCTCCCAGTTGGCTTGTTAGCTCAGTTTGAAGAGCACTGCACCGGTATCGCAGAGGTCATAGGTTCAAATCCCGTACGGACCTAAATTTTGTTCAGGCCTTATTTCCACCCACTGGATAAGTAGGGTTTATTACTCCGAAGAACGCTTTCATACATTTTATGAAAGCGCAGTAAACATATATTATTTTCATATATTTACTGAGTCGTCGCCATCATAACGCATTCTAGTGTCTTAGTCAAAAATTGTCTTCAGTTTTTAAATGTCATCCTTTCGCGGGATTTCGCAATACTCGTCCTCGCGGGTTTCATAATTTGCCCGCTGACCACAATTACTGTTTACTCTTACCCTCGACGAACGCCTTCGATGTAGCGTCACCCCACACTCACACGCCTTCACGCTGATCTAATAACATTATGCATTGGCGATCATACCGCTGATACGGAACCAAAATGACCCTGGGCTCGGGATTGGCTAGTCTCCTCTCGCAGCCGCTCTTTCTCTCGGGATCCCTGTGCCTCCCTCCCTTGCGGGGAGGGAGACAGAGAGGGAGAAACAGGGATCCCGAGACAAAGAACGGCTGCGAGAGGAGACTAGGGATTGGCTCCAGTACACCCCTTTAGTCGTGAAACGGTCTTCACTTCAAGTCAAGAAAACTCGGAAACCTGGCCCCGGTTGTTCAAAGGATGGATAACATTATCCACTGGATAAAATCTCTATCCAGTGGATAGCGCAGTACGTTTTGGTAACACTTATCTGCTGGAAAACGATTTATCCGTTGGATAGCGCGATCCGTTCCTTGAACAACCGGGCCTAGGTTAATTTTTTGAAGGACTAAAACAAAAAAAATTATTATTTTGGTAAATAACTTATTCAGTGCTTACTCGGATAATATCTCTGCTAGGTTGATTCGTGAGTGTGCTGATATTATTTTAGGCCCGTTATGCGATCTCATGTTTAATAAATAATAGTAATAATAATAATAATAATAATAATTTAATTCTCATATTGCGCGCTTTCTATGAAATAATCAAGCGCGCATTACATCTCAATAATAGTTATTAAAAACATACTATGATAAAATTGTAGCATACAGCATATGTTAAGATACTACCAACTATCCTGATAAGATTTTAATAAAAATTAATAAAAAGCTTTCTTAAAGAGGTGCGTTTTCAGGTGGCACTTAAAAATCCCTAGATCTGTAATAGAACGAATCTCAAGCGGTAATGCATTCCAAAGTGCCGGAGCTGCGACCTGGATCATTCTGGCATGTTTCCTGACGACTGGAAATGTGCCAGAGTGACTCTGTTGGAACTGGGGCGAGTCATCTGACTTAAACAATACCGGCCCATCTCGGTCATTTCCGTAGTCACCAAAGTGTTCGAGAGGATTGTGTACGATCAGTTATACCACTTCTTAAATAGTGAAGAAATCATCTCTAAATAACAATCTGGTTTCTGGTCTCTACACTCAACTGCTACTGCACTTCTAGAAACCACTGACAGTTGGGCGTTTAATATCGCCGGATCATGGCTACGTTAATGCCGTAGTGTTTCTCGACTTAAAGAAGGCCTTCGACACTGTTGATCATGAGATGTTATTAACCAAAATGAATCGGTGTGGAATTCAAGGTAAAACTCTTGATTGATTTCAATTGTATTTAACGAATCGGCACCCAACGGTGCTCAGGTGACGGTTGTCTCTCTGACTTCACCACTCTTAAATGTGGTGTGCCACAGGGAACATCCCTGGGCTCTTTTATAATTCTAATTTATATTAACAATTTGCCTAACTGTCTTTTATTCAGCATACCTAGAATATATGCTAATGACACCCACCATTAATGCTGGTTCTGATTTGGATTTGATTCAGTCTAGTCCATCTCACGACCTTTCAAAGCTAAGCAAGTGGCTTGTGTCTAGCAGACTTATCTTGAACGCTACAAAAACTGAATCATGTTGACCGGCTCCAGGCAAAGAGTAAGTACTCTATCTGATACACTCGAACTCTCCATTGATAATGTTCCGATTGAACAAGTTTCCTCTGTGAAATCAGTTGGAATATATATCGTATCGATGAAAATTTAACGTGGCATTCCCACATTGATAAACTTGCAAAAAAATCGCCCCTGCAATTGGAGCCCATAAAGCGAGTTAAGCCATTTGTACCCCCAATCTACCCTACTCAATACATACAACTCACTAGTTCAATCACGGGTTTATTACGAATCAACTTAACATGCTACTCCCAATTAGCTTGTTAGCTCACTTGGTAGAGCGCTGCACTGGTATCGTAAAGGTCAGTGGTTCGAGTCCCGTACAGGCCTGATTTTTTTTTTTTTTTAATATTTGATTTTCGCTATTGCATAAATAGCGCTATCTACTGCGAGGATCGTGCATCATACGTATTTTGACTACTATAGCCTATAGCAAGTCTGGGGTAATTGTGATGAGACGTTATCTAATATGCTACAAAAACAACAAAACCGTGTTGCACGAGCAGATTCAAATTCAAATTCAGAACGCCTTAATGGTTTCAAGTCTTTAAACGGGCTGGTTCCCGAATATCTCATGTCTAAATTCATAAAGCGAAATTAATCAAACTATTCCGGCTCTGAGGGAACAAACCTCACCAACAGACACTCATTTCGCTTCGCATTTCGCTCCAGGCATTGATAGTTGAAATGCTTTGTTGTGTTTGCCTTGTAGCTCCCTTCAACTCTGCTAGGCCCTTTTACTCCTCTTTTTTCCCTTGCTGGTGAAGCAACTTCCATATCGACACAAATAGCTAAACATTTACGGATGTTAACAAATGGTAAACACCACAGCGTACACTATTGAGTACACATTTGCTCACGTCAGCAGCGTACACCCATGGGCAAATGGGGGACGCTAAATTGACCAATCAGAGCGCGCGCTTTACTTTGGTTATGTTATAATAATAGTTTGAAAACTTGGTCGTGGGAGCAGTCGGCACTTGAAGATAATATGGTTTTAACAGCTGAGTTGACCACCGTAAAGTTGGCCACCGTAAAGAGTTTCTGAGCTGATTTTTAGAGATAGCCCTTCGTCGCAGGAGGGGGGCATTGGGGTCTGTTAGTAACCGCAAAACCACAAAAAAATTCGATCAAAACCGAAAACCACATTCAAACCCGTCTAAACCGATAAATTTGTACATCTCAGTTGTCAAAATCCTAATCGATCTGATACCGTGGTTACAAGTGAAGCAAAATAGGTTTCGCGGCTATTCGAGATCAGCTGCTCAGATCGAAGAGAAACCGGAACCCCAATATAAAAAACCGAAAAAGCACATCGGATACCAAATCCGAGTACCTGTCAAACCGAGATTCTTTTGGCACAAAAACCGAAAAACCGATCCAAAAAATATCCAAAACCGCCAAACCGCAAACCCCAATGCCCCCCTATCGCAGCGAATGACGAAGGGCAAACGCTTGAAACTTCAGCTTCAGCAAAGGAACTCTACTAAGACATATTTTACCATTTCACCTTCCAGAATGTTCGTGTCGTTCCAAACTTTTCTTGACGCAACACCAACGCGCGTGAATTCCTTAGTTGTTTGATACGACCTCTGGGTCGACTCTGGGATAATGCATTTCAGAGAGGGGGGAAGCGTGTGAACTGTTAAGGTGAAAACTGTCCCTAACTCGCGAGAAGACTGGTACCGATAAATGAGCAGCTTATTTAATATTATGGGTGGTGTAACAGTCATGTAGTGGTTTGTTATTCAGACTACGTCAAATCACGAGGTAGTTAATGAATACATGGCATATCGGTGCCAGGTGAGCGTGCTATCGATAGGGAATAAATGGTATGTCCGTTTACTTGAAAAATAGAGTTCAATTATGTCGATCATTTACAGTCTCATAGCTCGCGGTACTACAGTTCTAGTCGACTACACAGAATCTAGTGGCAACTTCCAACAGATAACAGGTTCAATTTTGCAAAGGATTCCCTTGCACGACGATACTAAATGCACGTATGTTTCGGGAAGGTAAGCTACTTGGGAATACAAAGTTCGAACTTAGATAACTGACTGGGATGTAGCAAGGATAATAGATCGGCAAAATTTTGTTTTAGTCAGAGCTCTAAAAAAAAGCTTGGTATTTTCGTTAAGCACTACTTGTTTTGAGTCTTCTGCATTATCGCACACGTTAACGTTGTTGGCCGTCGCCAGCTATAAGCCATTGAGCTTATATAGTCAGATGTCGCAATCAGTTGTCTCACGGTGATAGCCTCGATTTTTTTGTGCAAGTAAAATTTCCTCTTTGTCAAAGGATTTTTCACGTAATTACGATACAACCTTGCTTCAGTCAGTTGAAAACGAGTTTTCTTGTTTGGTCCTGACAAAACGTCACCCATAGTTACAGTTAAGCGGAAGTGGATGGGAGGGAAAGTTTTATTTTACCATCTTCACCCAGCGGTGACTGCAGCAGCCAATTCTGTTTGCGGAAAATGGAAAAACATTACTTCTGACAAGAGATCAGCTTACATTGAGCCTGCCTAAGCCAGCTGACATTTGAACTGATTTTCAATCGTCATTTGAAAAGGATCAGGGTATATCTGAATTAAAGGTATCATGACTTCGATTACCCCTTCATAAAACATATTGACACAATGTCATGTTTCTTTTTTTGTTTTCAAGCTACCATTTTCATGTGATAGTTGATGATGGACTCGTATATCTTTGTATGGCGGATGAGGACTTTGGAAAGAGACAGCCGTATGCATTCCTTGAGGAGGTAACCTTTGGAATCACCTATGACAAAAATTTAACTTGTGGAAGGGAGCTAGTGATATGTTGATCAAATAGACCATTTGATTAATGCCTCTCTGTAAAGGTTTTTGTCAAGAAATGCAGTTGCAGGAGAATTGTAAACAACTATACACCGATGTGGAGGTGAATAGTTGTGGGTATTTACCATGCAGTAAAGTGGCAAGATAAATATCCACCACAGTTGTGAGGTGAATAATTGTTTTAGCATGTACCTGAAGGAATTTGTTTTTTTGTAGTACACTTATTCTGACAGCTTATCAAGGATTTATAATATTTTGTTTAACTACCAGTAATCATGTTTTTGTTTGCCTTTCTGGTGTAACCTACAGATAAAACGAAGATTTGTTAACAGTTCACTGAAGCAGAGAGCAATCTCAGCTCATGCATATGAATTCAGACGAGATTTTGGACAAGTACTAGTAAGTCAAATGGTAAGACAACTGGAAAGGTCTGAGTTAATACAGACATCAAGAATGCCATCACTGATACCTACCTTCAGGTTTTTTCGTTATTGAAGTTGAGCAAGTGCTCTGAGTAAGTTTGTGCTGTTTTCCAAATTTGTATAAGTCATTACCAAAACGTAATTTAATAATAATGAGAGTCATGGTGAGTTTTCTTGCCAGCATTGTGCCACTCCTACACACATCCCACAAGTTTTTCTTTTGGTTCAAAACAGTCAAAGTATTGTTTTTGTTAGCTATAAACTGTCTTGCTGTTGCAGTCTTTGTACTCTGATCCTGGATATGATGAGTCAGACCAGATTTCCAAAGTACGAAGGGAAGTTAATGAGGTCAAAGATGTCATGACTGAAAATATAGGTATGGACTGCACCTTCCTCCTGAGATCCTGTGATGCATGTCTGCAGAAAACAAACATGTACAGCTGTTCCAGTCCTTGGTGCATTATATCCTTGGCTGAATGATTTTGGATTCTTCACAAACAAAACCAAAGCCGAAGTATTTAGAGTAACCACTCTAATGTATCACTCCACTAGAAGGCAATAAGAACTCAAAACAAATTATTAAAATGCTTGAAGCATGGGAAGATGGAAGTAAAAGAGCCATAATTGGTTTTAGATATACATCTGATTATAAGAGAATTTGGAAGAAGGCTTCTAAACAAATTACATAGCAAACCCAGGGATTCCTGAATTACTTCTGGTACTTGTTTAGTATGTTTACTCTGACTATTTCCATTAACTGCTTTTATCGGTTTTCTGTAGAAAAAGTTCTTGAACGAGGTGAGAAGATTGATGTTCTTGTGGGAAAGGCAGAAGAACTGGATCAAAGTGTAAGTTGGCTATTTACACCTAAAAGCACATGTGTGCATGCACTATTATATATACTTGACCATTTCACTTCCAGATCTCATTAGTAATTCTCCTTACTGTCAGCTACACAGTTTTTATCATGTTAGTTTGGAGAATTTGGCATTGGATCAGATAATAATCCCCTAATGAACATTTTTCATTATTCACTTGATTGCTTGATATTGTAAGGAGAAATTCTGCCTTGGTCACTCATGGGAGACTGTTAAAGGTTAATTAGTTTTAATATTTGGAAAGACTCTTGATTGCTAAAATCATATGTATATCGTTATGTAGTTTGTTGTCTCTCAGCTAAGTGGGCCTTCTGATTTAGTTATTGTATCTTTCCAGTCTCAGGTGTTTCACAGACATTCAAAAAGGTTACGCAGAGAAATGTGGTGGAAGAACAAGAAGATGTGCCTAATTTTGGTTTTTGTAATAGCCGTTATAATTGCAGCAATAGTATTGGCCGTTCTTGGTGTTGAAGGAAAACTAAAATAATGTGCCACTATTGAACAAACTTCACATTTTTATTGATTCTACATACAATCTGTCGTTATCTTTCCAGTTTACAGTGTATGATTCAAAGTTATTGAAGTGTGTAGAGCTTTCTTGATTACTACAAATTAAAAGAAATCCTTCTCGGTGTATATGAGAACTAACAGTATAAAGTTCAGCAAAATGTTAATGACCAACTCCCTATTAGTCTTAGTTTTTGTATCCTTTGGTTACAAACATGACCAAGAAATTAGCACTAACTGAAACAAGCACTAAACAGAGCAAAAACAACACAATCTTTGTTTTGTATCCTTTTGTGGCCATTTCTTTTGGCATGTCACTCAATGCAGAGAAGGATTGCATTTCATCCTGAAAAAGGGTGCAAAGAGGACAGACTATACTTTCACTCTTGACTATCAAAAATGTCTTCAAAAGTTGTAAACTATCATCCATTGTAACTGTTACCCCAACTTAAGTTGCTCTTATTGAGGCAGCTAAGGAGTTGAAGCTTGAACTGATGGCAAATTTGTAAGTTACTCCAAGTCCCGGCTTTGTTGCTTTCATGAATGAAGACCTCCTGTAAGTAGACACTGTCCCTTATTTCTCAGATACATGAGCATAAAATTTTTAACATATGTCATTCAGATTCTTCTCTAAATAGGACCCTTTCCTGGTTTTAGGCACTGTTTACAAGCAGGTAGGGTAACCCTAGTGCTAGGGTTACCCTGTCAGGAGGGTTACCCTAACGCTTCCACATTTCTTCTTTTTTTCATCGACGTGTTTACAAGGCAGCTAGGGTTACCCTAGCACTAGGGTAACCTTAGCTGAGCGCTAGGGTTACCCTAGCGCCAGGATAACCCTAGCTGCCTTGTAAACGCTCTGCTGGGGATAACTCCCCAACCCGGGACAACTTTTTACATGTTTCCAGACCCTTTGAACATTGATATCAATGCGTGCAGTTACCAAGCATAGGTAAGTTGTCCTGGGTGGTAGGGTAACCCTAGGTGTGAAATTTTGCTTGTAAACCCGGGCTATCTTTGACCCGCCTGCAAGGGTAATCCTAGCACAAGGGTTACCCTCCTTGCTTGTAAACGGGGCCTTAGTTGCTTATACTTACAGAAGATTCAACTGTTGTTATCAAAGTATGTCAGGAATCCTGCCCTAGAGGTGATTTATGGAAAATTATGTTGTTGTAACATGTTATATTTGGCTTAATATATCATGATCATATTAATTATCGTGTGCTTTTAATCATTACATGTTAAAAAGCGAACTATAAATTGATAAATTATTATTAATTATTGGGAAAGTTTTTGGTCACAAAAAGAGGGGGTGGCAGTGGAGTGAGCATGTAAGCACAATAAAAGATCACTCTAGGAAGAAAGGACACTTTTTAACGAAGAGCTAAAAATGATACACTAATTAGTTCATTTGTTGTTAGTAGTTATGAATTTTGAGCAAGTGCAAGTACAGTTACAACTTTTTAGGTAGGATATTTCTTTCTTGAGTTCTTGGGTATCAGCAATGAAAAAAGAAGAAACCTATAAATATATGCAGTCTTAAAGTCCACATGACAGTATATTTGATTAGTGGCCATGATTTCATCCTTCACTATTTGATATGATTTAGAAAGTTAAGTAAAACATGTAAAAGATTGATATAATTTTGATATAACCATGTAATTCAAATTTATAAATAAAGGCTGATAGTTTCTGAAGAAACTGTTTGGGGCTGTGTCAGTGGGGTTAACGAAATATTTTCAATATATCGACAAAGTTGAAATGGTAAATTGGCCACCGTTACAATTATAAAAGCTGACGTTTTGAGCGTTAGCCCTTCGTCTTTCACTCCGATGAAGGGCTAACACTCAAAACGTCAGCTTTTATAATCGTAACGGTTGCCAATTTACCATTTCAACTCTGTTGATATATTGAAATTAAATCAAATTTACTTTTAGAATTAATGAATGTGATTTAAATATTCATAGTAGATCCTTGATTCATATTAATGGTCATGTAGCCTGGTTTGCAGGCTCTAAAATAGCCATTGCATTAGTTTTTAAGTCAGGCATTAATACAATGATGAGGAAAGTATTTGCAAAAACACCTTTTGGCACCTGGCACAGCCCATCAGCTTGCCATCTCAACAATAAGATAACAAGAACTAAGTTTTTTGATCTGAACTGTAAAATTTTTTTTATATATGAATTGTCTAATTATTCTTAATCTCAGCTCTAGCATTGGAGTATATGTTAGCTACTGACATGGTAAAGTAATGGTTAATTTTGAACAGTATATCCCTACTAGATATATTTTTCCCCATACTTGGCTCTTGTCAAAGCTTGATTAGAACTAATTTGCATTTTATTAACCACCAGTTGAGTATTTGTAGGCAGCTTATCCAAGGGTATTAATTGTTTATATTCTGGGTGTTTAACACCCTGATCCAAATTTATTTAACCCATTGCCACTTACGTGTAACACGTGCCGACGAAAAGTCAAAATTTTGGAGAAACCAAGAAGGCAAACACAATGCGCAGTAAATTTTTAAAAATCAGCTTTTCCAAAAAACAAGCTGCTGTGAAAGAGGACTAATTAAAGAACTTATTTCCGGCGAAAAAAGCGATAGGTGTATATTATGTTTTAACTCAAAAATCAAGATGAAAGATAAAAATCGCTAAATATTTTCGCATGTGTGAAAATGGGCAGGTGGATCATATTTCAAAGGGAATATGCAAATTTGTTAAAATTAGACTTGTACTGATTAAACAGTTACTGTAGTATCACCCTGTTGATTATTGTTTCTGATGTTCTTTTTTTTTCAAACAATGTAGATGCAACTTTTTTTATTGAAAAACTGTTTTCCTGTTTGTGCAAAGTTTTTCTTCCCTGTACCTTCCTGTTCACATACATTTTAGGAAGTATCATGAGGCTTCTGAAAAATCAATAACCAATGTAAATAAAACCCTAAAACTGGTTAGATTTTTTTAAAATGTTTGTTATTTTGAATTTTCTAACTAACAAAAATCTTACAATTTGTGTATGTCTTTACAAAATTGTAGTACCTCTTAGTTTATTCCCAGCTAAAAAAGTGCTTTTGTTTGTTTTTCAACCTCCTCTACAGTAACTAATGTAAATGATTATTTAGATACCTCTTGATCCTGAGTCTGTTTACTAAAACAGTAAGGAAATATAATGAATAGTTTATGTGACTTAAGTTTTCTTAAGTTTAATCAAAAGCCCTCGTCGAACATACGGAGGAGGGTATAACTGAAAATTCACACGATATCAGTTCTTGAAAGCGTGCAGTGTGGGAGAGAACAATGTAGGACCGCAATCCGTGCACACCGTCGAAGCTGTAGTAGATAAAAAGAAAAAAAATGATTTTTTCGGCATCAAGGTAGAAAGTAACCTTGATCGGAGTTATGCTGGAATGTGAAAACAGAACACCTGCGTCTATATTGAGTAATTTATAGGAAAAGCTCCCATTACTTATACTTTGACAGACCTTGAAGGTCGTTAATTGTTGACAAGATGCTTTCCAGTGTCTCAGCCAGCCCTCTCCGATGCACGCGAGGTTTCCTTTCAAGTTTTCTTGGTTCGGCTATATCTTTAAAATCTAAGAATGATCGTTTTTCAACACCTTTTGCACTCATTCCAGTTCTTGCTTTGTTTTCTCCTCTGCCTGGCGTTTTTGCTTTGTCATTGTGCGCATGCCCGTGAACAATCCTCTGCATACTTGCCTTTGCATGGTTCAACTCATTTTGTCTTTCTTCGGAACCCACCACTTCTTTGAGTCGGACGCTCTCAGTTTTTTCTCGATCTTTAGATGATGAGGGGGTCTCAGCGTTAGGAGTCACGGAATTAAGGTTGCCTTCATTGTGCTTTGTAGATGACGTTTTCATGGCAATAACCTTGTGAAGCTGCCTGTGTATTTTTGAATGATCTTTAGTGACTTTCACAAGCTTTCGGACCTTTGTTACAAAGTTTGCGGCGTCATTGAGCACTGCTTTTGCCTCATCCACCACTTTCCGTGCGTGTTTGATAACCCCTTTCATGGCACTGCTAACACGAGGGTTGCTAAGGTTAACATTCTTCATTCCTGTGATTGGAAGGATAAGCCTTGTAATTTGTGACATCTCCATCCCTTCGTCGTGCGACTTTTTCTTTCCTGGTTTTCTCCCAGAAAATAACCGTCCGACAAGATTCTTTAGCTTAATCCCAGAACCCGAAGGTTGCTCGTCGGCTAGAGGATTTCTCGAGGCCTTTTCATTCCCGGCAGAAGACTCCTCGTCACTTTGATCAGGATCAGTTTTTCGTACCTTTGTTTTGATTTTAAAAAGCTTCGAAAAATCCGCTCGTTTCGAAGCCACGCTTACATCTTTGGGCAGCTTGAAGCTTGTTTTGTACTCGGGCCACTGTCCTTTCATACTAAACTTGGGATGTTTTACATTGACTGTAGCCAAAATAGGGCTGTTCATTGCAAACATCTCAGCGTTATCATTATCCACCTGCCAGTCTTCTTTAGAAGTGGCCTTCACCTTGGACTCGGGCAATTCATAGTGTAGATTTGTACCCACTGAGTTGGCCTCAACGTGAATTTCGTATGACTTCGATCCTCCTCTGAACCCTTTTTTTTGTGCTTGTATCTCCAAGATTAGACAAAGTAAAAAAAGGACGATGAGAAGACAAGTTGTCTCGGCGTCCATGTCAGATCTTTGATGGAAAAATCTGTCAAGAAAGTCGTTTTACTTTTGCTTCACTGTGCTTATTTTTGAGCTACCCATAAATCACTATCGAGGCTTGCATAACTTCGATAAACCATTGTTGCAATCATTCTTCATCGTCTTTGCAAAAGATATAAAATCGACATTGTAGCATGAAATATGAAAGAGAATAAAAGACCAGTTACGATGCCATCATACATTTATTATGAGTTAGCACTTGTGGTAGATTCAGTCAGGGAGAGTGTAAGTGTTCGTACTCGTCCTCTGTGAACAGGTTAAGCCAGGTTAAATCAGTTAGACACTAATTGCTTTAGCGATTGGCAAATAAGTCCCACTTTGCCGTCAGATCCTGTGATATTTTAGGAAAATATTGCATTGGATCACTGGATAATATAACTTCCATGAAGAGTGCAAGGATGTGGTTTATTTGAACTTCACCAAAAAAGGTGTTTGATTTTCTGTGTTCGCTTAGCATGTCGGAGACCTGCTTGTAGGTGCGGTCTTCGAGATCGTATTTCAGATAGAAAACTTCCTGAGGAGAAATTATGTCCCAGTCTTATTCATTACGCTACAAGTTTGTTGAGTTGCGCCACAAGCGAAATATTCCAAGAGTCATTTCAATATTTTTGTGAGGATGTGGATATGATTGAAGTCAACATGGCCCCTTGAAGGCAATGTATTGACTGAGTGCAACTCCGACTAGTTCTCCAGTATTTTCGACCAGGCCGATGAGAATCAAATCCCCCCATTTTTTTTTCATCCTCTTCTTTTTTTCCCTTTTTATTTTTTCAAATTCGAACAAACGATACTACACTTTATTTTCAAGTTCAAACACATGGAGAAGTTTACTGTAAAAAGTTAACCTTTTGAAGTCGTCCTTAGAAAAAAAATGGCAGTTCTTGCTCTTTTAGAATCCGACATGTCTTGATCCATTAAGTTGATTGCATTTCGGTTGAACTGCATGTGTAGTTGACAGAGTCAATTAACTCTAGTTTGATCGCTGTGCAGTAAGTGAACATACCAAATAAGACTTCAGAAAGCTGTCTGAAAGCAAGCTTACATCTTACTTTCACGTTTTAAGCCTATGATGAAGGAATCTATAAAAAACCAGGAAAGATTTGTTGCTGCTCGACGTTTCGGAATCATCATGACTCCATTATCAAGAGACTAGTCAACTAGTATGCAACTAAGGAAAGGTACAAGATAACCATAAATTACAATAAACGGCCTAAACAAACACCTTGGCGCGGATAGAATCTGTTTGCACGTTCAGTGTTGGTTTACGCATGCGAATGTATAACATTTCTTTAACGAGGCAATCAAGTTTGCCTCTGCCTCGTGAAAGAATTGTTTACATTTCGTGATGATGTGAAATTGCTCAATGAAGCGATCAGACAGTTCACTATTGGACCTATTGTGTTGGAGGTTATAATGTTTGTAAATCGAAGATGACTTTCTAGTGTGCCCTTCTACGCGCTCGTGTAAGTGACCAAGTGTGTAACCCATATACCCTGCATCACACAGGTTACATTTAAATTCATATATGAGACATTGTAGGTTGACAGTAGGGGACTTAATTTCTTGTCGCTTAAGTTGTTGCTCGAGCTTAGGGCTTACAAACACTGGTTGAACAGTGACGTTCAACTTGGAACTTAGATTGTTGAGTTGTTGTTTACGATATATCGCTGAAGACTGGTCCTTGAAGGGTAACACTACTCTCACAGTCAGCGATGGTACATCAGGTGATGGGCAGGGCTCTTGAGATGAAATCCTTCTCTCGCTTGATTGTAGTTTCAATCAGTGGCTTTGGGTATTTCAAGTTATGAAAAACCCTTCTAAGGCGGTCACATTCCTCCGAGAAGAATAACCGTACCAGTTAGAAGATAATCGATAAGCGCGATCCACCATGGTGTTAACTAGGCTGCGCTTGTACTTAATGTCAACATGACTCTGGAAATGCAGAAGGAGACCCGTGTTGGTTCTTTTGATGTACACCTTGCTCTCAATCTTTGGTGTACGGTTAAGTAATTCAATGATGAAGGAATCAAAGGAAAATACCAAAGTGAATATCTAAGGCGGTTAAACTTGAGTTACTCACCCCAAGCTCCCACTCTTCGGCTCAACATCTGATCTGATCTGATTTAAAACAAATTTTCGTCCTCAGTTTTTCACGAAACAGGATATTTTTTGTTTCAGATTTTTCCCTTCTTACTTAACACTATCCAGAGAAGTCATGAAAAGTCGCTTTTGTTACTGTGGTCTATTATCCCAACTAGGAAAAGACATCAACTCGGCTCAATCAGTCAAAGTTCTTCAGTGGAGTAATCAGATTTTGATCCCATGCGATCTTTTGATAATTATATTTCTACTGTAGTATCGTCTTGCATGTCGAAATAATCTCAAATAAGCTGTACGTATAAGATTCATTTTCGATAAACAACCACTTGAAACAATAAACGCCCTTATTTTCAGTAAACTATATTCGTAAATTGCGATACGTTCAAAACTTTGCCGCGCGAATTATCTGCAACGTAAAGAAGTACGACGATATCTCTCCTGTATCATAGTTCCCCTCTACAAACTATGCCTGTATTAAGAAACTTACGTTGGCTCCCTGTAAAAACACAACTCATGATCATTGCCGAGATGCTACTTTAACATTTAAATACATGACGGGTCAAGCGGCGGAATACTTAACCGTCTATGTATATAACTAGTAAAGGTAAAGTCTGTTTACGAGCCTAGTGGCTCATTAGGTCGGTGCTTAAACGCTTATCCAGGCGGCGGTTGATGATGACTTCCGCACAGGTTGTCGAAACGTCAGTCACTACCACCGACAACAGTCCTCAGGACTACACTCACCCGGACGATCAGACTACACCTTCACATGTTACCCCCGGGTTCAAGCCATTTACTGCACTCTGAAATTATGCTAATTAACAATTATTCCACGAACGCGCGTTGGATATGATATGATAGATAGCCAACGGGGCGCGTAGCGCCGAGTCGGCTATAATTATCTCATATCCAACAAGCGCGAGTGGAATAATTGTTTTATTTAAAAAAACGCCCCCAAGATATAAGACAAATCTTCTTGACTTTATTTTGTAAGAAGAAAACCGGATGTTATGATGTACAGATATTAGATTATGGTATATTGGCTCATATACCATAATGGCTAAGCCAATAAAAGGTCTTGAATTGTATTATCCAATGATCCAGTTTTTAATAAAGAGGAAATAGTAACATCAGGGGCGGGAAGGGGACCGTCACAGGTTTGTTATTTCTTCACTCAAACTTTCAAACCTGTATTGGCTAGACACAAAATCGGTCAAATAACGGTTCAACGTATCAAATTTGACTGGATTTAAACTGCCATGTTTTACAAATACCGGAGACCTTTCTAGAATCCCCTCCTATCCCCCCCAAGAAAGGGACGGTGTGCTCTCTTTCATGTTAAATGGCAAGTTATGTAAATGTTTGCCAGTCAAACTTTACAAAGCTTCGTAAAATTCCCTCAGTGAGAAGATAAATGGAGTGAAATTCATGACTACTCTTGATAACGTCTAGCCAAAGTCTAGTCGTTCGCTCGCGGTCCTTAAACGCTAATGTGCAGTAGAGGACTTACTCCTCGGTCATCAGAGACTCACATGATACATACATTTATTGAACACATCCCCATCTGGGGCTTTTCAGTGAAAAAATTGGATGAAAAAAAATAAAATACTTACAATACAATACGAATTATATATCTTTAAAATAAAATATGGTAAATTTAACAATTCATTCCGAAGGTGATTTTTTTTTTTGAGAGCTCGCTTAAAGGAAGCGGGACTCTTACATAATGTAAGGCTTGGATCTAACTTGTTCCAGATAGACACACTTTTATGATAAAATATTTTCTGTCCTGTTGCAGTTTTAAAAAAAAGAATATTTAATCGTTGAAAGTTTCTGCATGGTTATACGGCCAGATATGCTGCCTCATGTTATATACATAGGTGGAGGCGCGGTGGCCTCATGGTTGGTGCGCTCGACTCCGGATCGAGTGGTCCGGGTTCGAGCCCCGGCCGGGACATTGTGTTGTGTTCTTAGGCAGGACACTCTGCTCTCACAGTGCCTCTCTTCACCCAGGGGTTTAAATATGTAACGGAAATTAATGCTGGGGATAACCCTGCGATGGACTGGCATCCCATCCAGGGGGGAGTAGAAATACTCCTAGTCGCTTCATGCTACAGAAACCGGAGTTAAGTTAAATTATACTAAAACAATTACTCGCCTCAGGTTCGGTGAATATCGTCGAATAATCCTCGAGACGAAGTCTTGGGAATTATTCGACGATATTCACCTCGCCTTCGGCGAATATTTGTTAATTATCAAAAACTAGATCATTGGATAATGCAATTCAAGACTTTTTATTGGCTTAGCCATTATGGTATATCAGCCAATATATCATAATCTACAAATATGGCAAGCGTACGTGTCAGCTTAAAATTAAAAGGGAGCTAAAAATGTAATAAAATTTAATAATTTAATTTAACGTTTTTAATAAAACAATTATTCCACGAGCGCGCGTTGGATATGAGATGATAGATAGCCAACGAGGCGCGTAGCGCCGAGTTGGCTATAATCATCTCATATCCAACAAGCGCGAGTGGAATAATTGTTAATTATTTGGATTTGTAAGTCTTGCGCCAATGCAATTATTGTCAGCGGCAATCCGTAAAGTTCGATGCGCATCATGTTATGCGCGGGAATTTGAAACTGCTGTAACAGTTTGTGAGGATGTAATAACATTGGCGAGGGGAATTAATCTGATTTTTGTGTTATTTCTATTACTGCTCGGTTTTGGCTTGTAAAGATTAGTTCACACAAGCTCAAGATGTCGCTGGATGTGACAGCTTGTCTCAAGGCACTTTCAAGCGCGTTTTGTCAATACAGAAGTCAAAGCACTGATCATAACACCAAGGATCTCGAACGACAAATCGATGTAAGTTGCAGATTGGAGGAATGAAAATGAGAAACATTGAGATTAACAAGGCGATGATTCTTATATTCTAGGAAATCGGTTCTTCTACGTTGTTTTGTTGGTCTAGCTGTATCTTCATGACATCATCGGACTTGTATCGAGGTCGATCATATTGAGTATATATTTCGACAATTGATCTTGCCAAAATACTTATTTCTGGCTCTTCAGAATTTTATAGAGCGTCTCAGCATACGTTTATAGAGTCACTGATGGAATTAAAGGAACCTAAAACAGTTTGGGTTGGGTGATCTGTATTCTTAAGGGGTCAAGGACCCTTCCACAGCCAGAAGATCATCCAGATATGTACGGAGGACTTCTCATTTTGACTTTCTATTAGATTAGATTGCCGTAAGCTTGCAGTAAATACAATGAAAAGTAGATAAATAAGTGAATAGATAAAGTTCCATACCAAGTACAATTTTCAGCTGATCTTTATCTCTAACTTTGAATGTACATGTAATTCTGGTGGCTAACTGCAGGTACATGTATTTTAACCTGACTGCGTGTGATCTACTTTCGATGAAGAAACCCTCATTGCACTCATCTTGTTTCATAAGGAAGGGAGAAATCCTGTTTCAGATGTGTACACTTCCTGCCAATTGACTTAAATTTCTGTCTGCTGTGTTTTTTTTTTTTGTTTTTTTTTTTATATATTAGGTTTTAATTGGAATCACCTCATCTGGGAAACCCCTTCATGGATTTAATGCCAAAGAGCTTCTTCCTGCAGAGTGCCTCTCCTCACTAGTGGGTCTTTTGAGTGAGAACAGTGTGAAAACAAGTCTGTATACCAAGGCTATGGCTTTACTGTTTAATCTTGGTAAGTTGTTTAAGGGAGAGCTCAATCTCTACACATGCACATGTATAAGCTAGAAGAAGAAGAAGAAGAAGAACCTTTATTGATTTATACCACTCAGGGACTAGCCCCTTCAGATGTAAAAAGCTGTCTGTTATCAATGGGAGCCCTGAGCACAACAATGTACTAAAACTATAGTATACTTATGCATTATACTGATAATGATAATTATATAGATAGAAAACTCTATACAAATAAAAGATTTAGAAGTAGATAAATAAGAAATACCATCAAGATAGTTCATTAAAAAGACTGCAACCACAGTAATTAGAAAGATCGTTTTGCGATCTCAGTCCTCAGAGCAGGTGGATGTAAAAGGTTGCTTTGTCTAGTGGTGCGTGCGTAGATTGTATTTTTATGTTTAAAATGTTCTTTGAAATATTGGGGACATTGACTTTGCAGGCATAGATCCTTGTAGTATGTGTTGATAATATATCCTCTTTTTGTTTGTAAGTTAATGAGGTGCAAGTTCATGACCAGTATATGCTAGTGCTAAATATTTAAGCTACATATCTGGGTTGAAGCACTTGAAATTATTCAGTAATATGTTTTTTTGTTTGGAAATCCACTGAAATCTTTGATGAGGTTAGAGCACTTGTCCTTTTGTAGAATCACAAATGTAATGTACAAGTAATACTACATTCATTGATTCCTCCTGAAAATGTTAATTAAAGGGAATCTGTTGGTGATTATACTGAATAAATAATAATAATATAATAATAATTAAATATTTATATTGCGCAAATTAACATGTGGATATGATCAAATGAGCATCACAACACTTTTCGGGGGACTTTGGCCGGACTGCATCAGCAGTTTACAAACAATATCGAAGGAAACTTATTTGAAGATACCCCCTCTCCCCCCAATTCCCAGTAAACAGGCCAGATCACATCACAGTAATCTCGTGAGTGGGTTCTTTAACGTCCCCTGCCTAACTAAATTAACTAATTAATAGATGCAGGAGACGGGACCTACGGTTTATTCGTCCTTATCCGAGAAGACTAGAATGTCCATCCATTTCTTGATATTATAGAAAGGAAGCGCATTCTCCTCAGTTATTTTAAGACCTTGAGTGTTGGTCCAGCCGGGGCTCAAACCATCGACCTCGACCTCCTGCACAACAGTCCAACGCTCTAACCAATTGAGCTAACTGGGAGGCGGTAAATGTGTAAACTAAATGTGTAAACTAAAGGTGTAAACTAAAGGTAGCCCTAGCATGTCTTAACACAAAATGTCCCGGAACACAAATTACTTGATTAGGTTTCCTTTTGTTTTAAAAGACATAGGGTTTGTTGAATGAAATGGACATTCAGAACGAGAGAGACTTGAGTTTGATATAGAATCCCTGAAAGTATTAGTTTGTTATGAAACCAACTGAAAACTTCCTATTTTACTCAACCAGCAAATGACAGAAGCACAAGAGAGACTCTTCATTCCACTTACCACCTGACCTCTACACTAGCAGCTCTACTTCATAAACATCACCTAGCATCAAATGGCAAAATTATTTTACAGGTACCCTTCATTTTCATTTTCTTAAGGGCAATTAGATAAAGGCTATTGACTGGAGCATTCTTAGAAGTGATTTTTACACTTTTGTCTTAAGTTAGTGCATGTGTTTAATGAGTTGTGGTCAACTGAGTGCATGTAATTTACATTACATTTCACAATCACTTACATGCATTTTTTTGCTACATGCATTTCTGCATAGTTACACGCACTGTGTGCATGTATTACTTGTGTAATATATGGGAATTGCATGTGCATCAAGGGCATGCAATGTGGCATTACACATAAGGGGTGCTGTAGGTCACCCCTGCTGTTTTGTCTTTTATATGAAGGGATCTTAATGCAGTTTACTTGAGAGAAATTATACTTGTAAATTAATGTGGGCTTGAGAGACACAGCCATTCTATTTGGGACAAAATATGTGAATTCATGGATTTTTGTCGATTCAGTTGTACAGTCATGTAGCACTACACATATTTTGCTTTTTCTATTGTTTTAAATTCAAAGTGTCTGCAACTTCTTGAAAGAGTCACATATGGCTGTAAAATCACCACGCCGAGTGGATACATTGAGGAACTGATCAGATATTTAGTAAATAACATGTAAGTACACTTGGGTTTACCATAGTCAGTGTATATAATAAACTGAATATCAAACTATTATTACAGCTTGATGAGTTTAAGTATCTGTTGCAGATAAATAATTATGATGATATTGCTGATATGATGGTTGATAAAAGTATGTTAATTAATCATTTGGGAAGTTTCATTAGCAGTGTGTATTTTTTTGTCATGCTTATTGTCTAAAGAACAGGAGAGGAAAAGAGAAAACAGTCCAAGGGAAACACAAGAATGATAGTTTGAAAGTTGAAAAGCATTTCTTATGATATAATGTAATTCAACCAGGGCTTGACACTAATGGTAGTCCACTAGCCACAGACTAGTAGAAACTCAGTTTTGGCTTGTGGATTTCAATTTCCACTTGCCAGTTTGGCTAGTAAACAAACTGAAATTGTCGTAACATTTAAGATGTAACAAGCCTGCTGCAAACAGTGCTTTCAATAAGACCTGGCACCCGCCGGAGCTCCGGCGGCTATTCTGTTGCGAGTCGCCGGGTATATTTCACCGCGCTCAAGTCGCAGTCGCCACACTAAGTCGCAATCAAGTCGCTCTCCGGTGGGTGTTGTACCGAGGTAGCCACCTATTTCAAATCTTATTGAAAGCACTGTGCAAAGCACTTGGCTAGTAAGTTGAAAACTTATTGTCGAGCCCTGTCAACAATGATTGCAGAACTTTGTCTGAGTGTTATTTTTTTTTCACTTTAATCATGCTGGCTGCTGCTTGTCTACTGTAACTGTTCCTCTATGTGTAGCTGTCTGTCTGTCAATCTTCCTGTTTGTTTATCTGTCTGTTTGTTATCGAAATCAGTATAGAAATTACTTTGAATTCATAATGATAATTTTACATTTTCTACCTTTTCACTCAACACAGACAGATGCAAGAGTCAGACCTTACCATACCATGTTTAGGTCTGTTGGCAAACTTATGCCGACATAACCTACCAATCCAGGCCCACGTCAAGGCACTGGTGAGCAAAATTATCCCTTTTGAGTCTGATTTCCATTAACAAGTGTGGTAATTGCATTTGATTTACAGTGCAGTTTGTATAAGAAACTATGCATTATTTACACTGCACTACCTTGTCAATATTGTATTTACCTAGGAGCCTGATATACAAAATAAAATTTCCAGATTTAGGTATTGCTCAGCATTGAAGATACCTGTAAGTTTAACTTGCATATCTTTTATCAATGAAGTTTACCTACAAACTCAGAAAAACATGAACATTTCGGTTTGATTCCGACAGGTCAATGACTACGAACCAAACTGACCAATAAAAATAATGGCAAATACACACAAGCAAATCTCTAAACCTCAACTTTATAACTATTGCTGTTTGTGTTTTTAAGAAATCAACAGTGGTTAAGAGTGGTCTGTTAACTCTTATTGACAACCATATTCATCATCACAGTTTTCAAAATTTTGTGGACTCATGAGGTGCCATGGAGTGAGTCTGCAACAAATTTTGACCACTGTACTCTAATTGACAAAGGAAAATTGTCCAGTCAGATTGAGACATTACTACCAATTGTGGTAAAATAGTTTTCTGAACCCTTGGTTATTTTGTATTTAGAACACAATCACATGCTATAAACATATTTGGTATTCACAGGTTTTCTGAGTTTCATATTAACTTTGAGTCACTGATTTGGTTTACTGATCCAGAGGCTAATTTTGCCATTGCAGGAGAACATCAAATCACTCTACCGGACTCTGATAGCCTTTCTCTCTCATAGTAACCTGACAGTAATTGTGTTTGCATTATCCATTTTGACAAGCTTATCACTTCATGAGCAGCTAGGAGAGAAGGTAAATCTGTTATGTAGATAAAATTAAACTTTACTTAACTGTTAGAGAATTTTGAAACTGAAATCATTTTAAGTTTGTACCTTAATTAATTGAGATAAGTACTGCATGGAAATCCACTCTGACCAATAGGTTTTTTGAGATGAGAACAATTTTGTTAACACTGTGTAAGCAATATAATTCTTTTTCCATGTTTATGTAGAGCTCTGCATTTAAACTATCTGGGAGTAGAGGGAAGGGTGTTAAAATTCTCCTTAGCTTTAAAACTCTGCCCTAACCCATTAACTCTCATGAGAGACCAAGACAAAATTTCCCCTTACAGTAACAATACAGTATCAAGAAGAAAATTGATGAGAATAGAGAAAAATATCAATTAGGGGATTTCTAGTTAATCTATTGCCAAATTTTCTAAACTAAGATCATAAGAATTTTATGTCCAATATAGTAAGGACTAACCATCTCAATAAATTTTTTACATATAGATATTCTTTCATGTTATTGTATAGATATGATTTCATATCCTGACCACTCTTGTAATTTAGCTGTAAGCTACAAAAAGACTAATTAAACTCTGATTATTATTATTATTATTATTATTATTATTATTATTGTTTTAACTTGGGAGGGAAAGGGTTAAATCCTACCAACCCCCATGTGTTTAGGTGAGGCTGTTTGAATCAGAGTTGCTACTGAAGATCTCTTTCAATATGGTTTCTTCTTTCTGCGTAGAATTTAAAGCACCATTTAATAGTCATTTAAATACTTTTCTTTATATCAACTAGCTGTTCAACTCCAAGAACATTCACCAGACCTTTCAACTGGTTTTCACATTTCTGATTAATGGTGAGGGTCCAACAACAAGACGTTCTTCGGTAGATCTGTTTGTGGATTTACTTGCCAGTCCTAAAATTCAGCAGTCTCTCCTCATGTAAGTTCATCTTACACCTGTATGCATGGATCCTTAGTTTGTTTAAAGGTTCGCCATGATGGTGAAATGTAAAGTTTGCAAAGCTGTCAAGAGGAGTTGGTAGCTAGCCATTAAACCACTGCCTAGCCTGCTGTCTTTATCAGGCTTCTTTCATTTCATTTTAACACCTCTCAGCCAATGGAAATTTAACAATCATCAAAATACCATTGAAGAAATCTGTATGGCAGCCATTTCCCAGTTTTTTAAGCAAAACTGTGAAATGGGTGATTTTGTAGTCTGATGAGTATTGATGTGTAAGTCAATTTCATGTTTTTTCAGAATTCTCTTATAGGTGCATAGAACTTCATGGACTCCTGGGATATCTTAACTGAATAGTACCAAGTCTTTCTTGTAATCCAACAACACAACATGGCTCCTCATTATTATATATTATAATTATTATATATTATATTATGAAATGTGTGAATTGATGTTTATAATGTTTCCATGACCTATTTGGTTTCAGACATGAACATCTGGCTTTTTACCTGGAGCAGATTCTGGCATTGCTACACTTAAACCATGCAGATGAGGCAGTTAAGGTTCTCATTTTAGACATAAAAATGATTGTAGCAATGTACTTTTATTTGCTTTGAAGGTTGTTGTATGAATGTGTACTAGTCTTGTAATTATGTCAAGAGTTAAATTTAAGGATGTTTTCTGCTGGCTGAAGGAGGCGCAGTGGCCTCATGGTTGGTTCGCTCGACTACGGATCAAGTGGTCCGGGTTCAAGCCCCGGCCGGGATGTTGTGTTCTTTTCTTAGGCAAGACATTTTACTCTCACAGTGCCTCTCTTCACCCAGGTGTTTAAATGGGTACCGGCAATTTAATGCTGGGGGTAACCCTGCGATGGACTGGCATCCCATCCAGGGGGGAGTAGAAATACTCCTAGTCGCTTCATGCTACAGAAACCGGAGTTAAGCACCGGCCTAATGGGCCACTAGGCTCATAAACAGACTTTACCATCTGCTTGCTGAAGGACAAATGAGAAGTAATTTACGTTCTAGTCATGCGCTGCTGAGTGTATGCAGGGTCCATACTGAAGAGAAAAACCTGGGTACAGTCAAACTTTGATTTTCCAGACCTCAATTATCTGGATTTCTTAATTATCTGGACTTTTTCTCTGGTCCCAATTTTGTCATGAATATTTAATATTATTAAAAACTGGATCATTGAATAATGCAATTCAAGACTTTTCATTGGCTTAGCCTTTATGGTATATGAGTCAATATCCCATAAACTATGATATGGTAAGCGTACGCGTAAGCTTAAAATTAAAAGAGAGCTAAAAATTTTAAAAAATTTAATAATTTAATGCAGCGTTTTTAATAAAACAATTATTCCACTCGCGTTTGTTGGATATGAGATGATTATAGCCAACTCGGCGCTACGCGCCTCGTTGGCTATCTATCATCTCATATCCAACAAACGCGAGTGGAATAATTGTTAATTAGTCATGATCAAGATCAGTAGCCATATTCTTTTTGAAACCGCAGTGTTGAAAAGTGAAGTGAAGGTGATGTTCTTCTTTAAAGACAGAATGTTTTCAACATTTTAGGCTAATGTAAAAACATTTCTCATTAATTTTAATTGTTAATACACACGCGTAGAGGTACAACAGACCGTGAAGATGTAGACCATAATTTTTCAAAACAATTTGTGAATGTGTTGTTCCTCCATTAATATTCGTATTCCCAATTATCCATACCCTCGATTATCCAGACTATTTCGTCTAGTCCCAATGTGTCCAGATGATTGAGGTTCAACTGTACTAGTACTAGCATACAGAAAGGTTTAAAGAGGGTATTCACCAGTTTTAGCTGGGTATTTTTCAGTTATGTGATGCATTCAGACCAATCATGCATAGTGAAAAATTTGATGGATTATGAATGGTATCAGAATTGTGTCTGGTCTCCTTTATCAGATGTTTTTCGCATATATATATTTTTTTATTTTTGAGAGGTTTGTGAAGAACTAGGTTCAGCCTGGTGGGGTTGCTTCCAGTTGTGTGAGAATTTAGTTTACCATATTATTTTTAACTTATTTCTTGAAAGGTATTTGAGCTACTGTTGACATTCTGCTCAGTTACTGGGTTACGATGTCTTGTGTGCAGAGCATTGTTTTCACCTGCTAGCTCCAAACCAAAGGACCCAAATGTGAACAGTGCATATGATGCTGTCTTATACTGGACCAGTCAGTCAGTTGACACTCACTCAACTGTGTCCCTACAGGCTCTTGATTTTATCAAGGAGATTTATGAGGTATGAAAGTTGTTAGAACTTTTATTGAATGTTTCTGAAGGAAGCCTCCAATGCTGGATAAAATTAACATCCGATGTTTGGAAATGGTCTGTTAACTTAAAATTTGTTTGGCAAAAATGTGTAGAAAGTTTTAAGGGTATGAAATTGAATTGTATATCAGATATTTTGAAAAATGAATTTCTGAGTGTATTAAATTTTGGTCAATAGACATTTCATGGGAAACCTTAGAGCAAAATTGCCTTTAAGCATAAAAAACATGTCCCTATAAATAAATATATTAAGCAACAGTAATCATATGCTGAATTTTGAGAATAAATTTGACTTACAAAGACTTATACTTTAAAGTTACTGTTTTGTTAGCTGAAATCATGGTCATGTTCATTTGTTGTCTCTACTTTCCACTCCAGGAACTTGTTGATGGTGGTCTTCTGGATCAGCTCTCTCCTTGCACAGTTGATCTTGTTTCTGTTCTGACTCACCTACTTGTACCACCCACAGAAATTGATGGCTCCATACTCAAACAAACTTGTGCACAGATCAACAAGGCCTTGGAAGTTCTTAATGATATCCTTCTCGATACTGTTCAAATGATTCTCAGTTTACTTCACTTTAGGATGGGGTTGTTTTAGAAACTGTGTGACAACTGTATTGTTGTGGAAATCGTATTTATGATTTTTCATCTCCCATTTCAAAGATGTGGGAGATGGTTAGTAACTGCTCAACTCTTTATCGAAAGATCAGCATGTGAGCCTCAGAGGGGCCATTGTCAGTTTGGTATTCTTGGGCAGGATGCTTTGCTTCTACAGCATCTCTTTCCCAAACAAATATAATCTATGACTGGTTACTGACAAACTGTCAAAGAATTCTGAAGGCAGATTACCAGTGAAGAGTCTTATGATGGACTATTATCCTGTTTAGGGGTAGTAGCAACAATTTAGTTGCTTCAAGGTAGAGCATCACAGTGCAGAATCCAGCGATCTGGGCCCAGTTATTCAAAGGCTGATTAGTGCTAACCTAGGGTTAAATTTTTATCAAAGTTTCTTTATTCCTTTGTTCAAGTGCCTTTTTCAGATAATTTTGTCTATTTTTTTTAGAGCTTCCAATCATGTAATTAGAGAAGAATCGAGTTTCCAGACTCGAGTTTCCAAACTCGATTTTTCTCTTATTAAAAAAAAATTATTTTTCATCTTTACATAATCATGTAATTGTACACAAAAAGAATTACTGTATTGAGAATTTTCTTTTGAGGGTTTCAAATCTGATATCTGATTTCACACTAACCTTGGGTTATCTAAAACCAGCTTTGAAAAACCCGGCCCAAGGGTTCAATTCCTCATAAGGACTTAGATCATTTTCTTTGTCGCATTTTCGTGACAAGACGAGTAACTTACTTCTTCATATCATGGTACAATGTCTACCAGTTGTTACTCTCCTTAACTCTTCGTACTTCTTTGTTTTGAGGATTCATTGAAAAATATTGTTTTAGGACATTTAAACCTGGAGTACTGGTGGAAATTATTGGAATATCAGTATCAACACAATAGTGTTGGAACGAGAAGCACTATTGCGTTGCCTTGGAGGTATGTGAGGAGGTTAGAGTGGCGGGATGTTCTCTGCTAAACATGAACATTAGAATATGATTTGAATGCAGGGTGGTCCTATGAACAATGAACACTTGCCAATGAACACTCATTAGAGCTGCTTTGTTGAAAGACATTACATGCACGACGGCTTAAGGTATCCGGGAAATTCGCCACCACTACAAACTCGCCACCACAAAACTTGCCACCACTCGAAGTCAATTCGCCACCACTACAAACTCGCCACCACAAAACTTTCCACCACTCGAAGTCAATTCGCCACCGGTAGCGAATTGACTTTTTGGTAACGTGTAGCCTCTCGTGTGAAACTTAGATCAAATGAAAGTTAGGAGGTAGTAGTACAATGCGAAAAGGGAAAGGGACCCAGATGTGAGGTGTAGCGTCTCAATAATGGAACGTTAAACGAAATAAAACATGTTGATGTCACGAAGATTATGATCAGTTTGCGAAGAGCGAAACCAGAGTGATTTTCGCTAAGTGATTTCCGCCGATACGAACGAAATCGTATTAAACTTGCATCATGAAAATGCTTAGAAGTCGAAGTATAGTGCGAAACTAAAAGCGTGTAGAAATATAGCGAAGTTTACTCAAACAGACTTTGGCGTGCTTTATTTGTTTGGTAAACCCTTTGGTTCAAGCACAATAAGTGTCGACGTGAGCTTTAACAAGACTTTCGTTCTTATGAACACAATTCGCAATCAAATCTAATGAAACTTATATCATACGAAAGGTTAGATCCTGAAGTTTATTTATCTTTTAGTTTTTATGATGCGAAATTAATAGTGCGAGCAATCACGACAAAACTCGGCAGAAAGCGACTTGGCGTCCTCTACGAAGGGCTAACGCTCGAAACGTCAGCTTTTTAACTCGTTACGGTGGCCAATTTACCATTTCAACTTAGTTGATATACCTTAGAAGTAATTAGAATAATAAGTAGCAGGCCACGAGAGGCTACACGTTACCAAAAAGTCGATTCGCCACCGGTGGCGAATTGACTTCGAGTGGTGGCGAGTTTGCTGTGGTGGCGAAATGATAAGAAACCCGGCTTAACCCAGCCAAACTAAACGGTGAACCTGTCAGCAAAGCCACAAAGTTGTAGTAACTCTACGTTATTGATATGGAGCGGTCTTTGCAGTAATGAACAGTACTTGAGCAGTAAAAATTTCAGGCCTGTACGGCTTGCAGTGCTTTACAGTCATTTAACCTCAAGTTAGTTCGTTTATTGTATGCTAAACAAAGTAAAGCAAAAGTATGTTCAGCTTTAATTGGCTAGCATCTTACTCAGGTGGAGGAAAAAGTTAAGCTCCTGAATGATTCTCCTTTTTCGTGAGAAGTCCTCAAAAGAAAGTGCTTTGTACCAAGCAGTGTGTTACAGCTATTCAACCTTTCACTTCCCATAAACCTGATTCGATACCGTGAAGTGAATCATTCTAAAGCAGTACATGTGAAACGCACAGCCATAGTCAGGTATTAAGTATACCTATCGAATGAGCGGGGCTGCTGATAGCGTTTTTCATTTCAGCGTGGAAGGTGTTAACCTGGTGCTTCAGATGTTAGACTTGCTGTGTAAGCTAAAGAATGATGTAACAGGACTCAAGGTACAAGAAGTTCCTTTGTTATATCGTTTTACTAAATAAATTGTTTTCGTTGTTAATTCTGCTATTTTTTACAAGAAAGGCATGTCGAGTTAATAAGTTATTACTATAGCTAAGCTAGATTGCCAGAGGAAAATTTGTTTGCGTTCCCTTAGCAGAAACTGCTTTATTTCTTTGTAGGAACAGCTTGCTTCCGCGTTACAAGACCAGCGGTTAGTGCCATTCTTGGCACGTGCGATGAGTAGTGATTCACGTGACAGCGTTCAAAAGGCTCTCCGGATTCTGTGTGATGCTAACAGCCTTCCAGACTTCCAAGCCATATGGTAGGCTCGGTTAATATTAAACCTCCTCTACAATTATAGCCATATCCTTCTTTTGGCGTGAGAAGGATTCGCAATCAGCCGTAAAATATTCGGTGTTTATTTATTTCAGGTTAGGTGATTTAATCGCCTCAAATAACGCGGCCCGTGAGGAAGAGGTGACACTTTTAAGACGACCCATCGAAACAGACCTGAGTCCGCCATCGTCTCCTCGGCACCAGGTTTCCATTAATAATAGCCGCAACTCCACCAGCTTGCGTTCAGCAGGCCTGGACCACGCCCCTGTCAAGATAACTGCTCCAGTAAAGAATGCAAATCGTGATGCTAACATTGAGTCGTTGATCGAGAAGATGAAATCGGGACTAGAGGTTTACTGGCTTTTTTTTTTCCTTTTTTAGATTATAAACTCTTCTTTGGCACAACATTGATTCTTGCACTGAACCGTCCAGTGGCATACACATATTTTCTTAGGTTTATTAACATGTTTGTGTTTCCTTAGCCATGAAAAGGACGCAATGAAGTCGTTTGGGGGGACACACCCTCGCGACTAGGGAAAGTAGCCCTTAAGTTGATATCCCTTCAATTAATTTAATACATAGAGAGGTTATAGAACCATTTTTCCCGTCGCGAGAAAATTTTGTGCTTCCGAAATGGAGATATCCAGAAAGGATGTTCCAATTTCTCTGTGTGCGCTTGAATGTTTGTTATAACATAACCAAAGTAAAGCGCGCGCTCTGATTGGTCAATTTAGCGTTCCCCATTTGCCCATGGGTGTACGCTGCTGACGTGAGCAAATGCAAAGACTATTTTTCCGCGCGCGCTTGTTTTTTCTGGTCACGTAAGATTTGTTAAGTAAAAGGGAACTCTTTAGCTACAATGTATCAATGTTATGTTATAAAACAAATGGTAAACACCACAGTGTATTCTTCCGGTTCTCTTTCAAATTTGGAGCCAGGAACGCCGTCCTCTTCGGTCAGAACTGTAAGAGAATAAGCGAACTACTCGCCATTTCCCTTGTAGCTCTCAAAGAAGTGGAGTTTGTTTGTCTGAGTCACGCGGGGGGGTCTGAAATTTCATGACGTCATTAGTATAAAGCGCTATTAAAAAAAGAGTACTTTACAAAGAACATTCCGCCTTTCTGTTGAACAAAAAGTGAGAACTACTTTATTCGCATGTATTTTCAGATAAACGAACTTCTTCAAGCTCAAAAGTCGGCGACAAAAGAGGTATGTTTTGTATTTTGATTTTCTTATATCCGATGTACATGTGAGTTTTTCACTGGTGCAAGTTATTCTTCAAAGGCGCAGTGAGATAGTGCTTTAAAAAACATTACAATATGATAAGCATCACACTTTTCCAAGACAGAGGAAGTGCGCGCTAATACAAGTTTGGTAGTGGGAGAGTTTGACCTTTTTCAAAAACTTTCTTGTGGTATATTTCTCCTATTCTCTTTTACCATAACAATCTTTACCCAGAGGGGGTAAACAATTTAATTCTAGCGCTTTTACAGACATACATTTTCAAGCCCATCATAAAATTGCAGTCTATCCATGGATCGTTGGCCTTTCTTTACGCTTTTGTGACATGTTACGTGATCGATTAATCTTTTCCGGGCCTTTTTTCAGATGGAAATCATGACGAGACACAATGAAAACCTGAAAGTGATCGCAGAAGAGCACGAGCAACTCAAGATTGCTTTTGCTGAGCAGTCACAAAGGTTGGTTAAATGCAGTTAGCTTTACGAGCGAAGCCCTCACATAGCCTGGAACTGAAACGGGACACAGGGCAAGGCCAGGAATAGGAGCCTTTTTTCACTCTGCCCCACCGCCCCGGCGAATTAGCCCACACAGTCTACGTTTGCCCGTCTGTACTCGTTCATGTTTTGAAAATACTGTTCTCGCACCAATATAAGAATTGTAACATAATGCGACGAAGGATGACATCTGAGTTGGACTGTTTGTCGTTGTGATTAATAAATTGTGGAATCACATGTCAGGGAACTCTCCTGGGACTTGAAAAAAGTGCCCCTTGTATAGATGTGTTCCTTCAGGGAAGGTAGCTGTTACAGAACTGCTAAGGTTGGTGTTCCTTGTGTGAAGGTGTCGCTAAAAGGGAAGTTCCACTGTAAAACAGAAATCAAGTCAGTCAAATTGAGGTTGTTTTGGCAGCCACAGTATTGCGTCGTAATATCAACAGTTCCCCATTCTTGGCCCTGATCAAATTGTTTTTTCTCCTTTGTATAGACTTGAAACAAGCCAGCGTAGTCTTATGGCGGCTCAAGACGAACACAAAGCTCTGTCTGACCTAAACGAGATGTTGAGACGACACAACGATAATTTGAAGAGTCAACATGACTGGTAATCATATCCGCACAATTCGCAGTCAAGTGATGTTCGTAAATTACCAATAAACCCCATGTGATGATGTGCTGTGTTTTTCTACTTAGCACATCCAAACAACTCCAAGAACTTGAACAGGAGAGGAAGAAAATTGCTCAACAACTCAAAGAAAAGGACTTAAGATGCCAAGGTAAAGTTCTGTGGGTCTCTAAAATATTCTCTGCTGTTTTCAATGAATCACGATAACATTCAAGAACCAGAGTCGTATAGAAGTCTCTGCAAGTAATGTATATTTTCGAAAGTTGTTACTAAAAACTACATAAAACCTTGTCCAGCACCACGCGCCAGTTTGATATTCAAAACCTGACGAAGTAGAAATCTTGTCTCTTTTGCAGAGCTCCGGAAAACGATACAGAAACAAGAGGAAGAAACCAAACAACGCGAAAAGAATATCGAAGATCTACAGCAGATAAACGACTCCATGAAAAGTAATTTAGCGAAAGCCGAAAAGGAGAGAAAGGAGTTATCCCATAAGGTTAGCATTGATCTATTTTATATTGGGAAGAAAGAGGGTTAAAATGGAGATAAAAATGTGTTTTAGACGATGAATCTCGACTAATTGCTTTCTTTCCGTACGTTCTCATGTTCATAGCTCTCGTCGCTGGAACTGATCTGCCGTCAACACGAAGACGTGATAAAGAAGCGAGAAACAACTGTCAAGGAATTACAGTCTGAGCTGGATCGACAAGCACAGATTGCTGCAATGATTCACAACTTGAGTAGCGGAAAAGTTCCATTGAATAATTTTGGTACCAATTCAAGCTGACCAAGTCACCATGCCTTCTTTTATGACCGATCCGCGTGCTATCAAAGGGCCTGGAGAGCAGAACACTTTATGTAAAAAGCCTATATTTGTACAAGAAACTTGAAGAGCCATGTATTTGTATATATCCATATTGAAAATGGTAATTTATTTTTATCCTGTCATCTCTGCATGAGCTCTATGATCAATCTTACCTTCGTTGTCTCCTAAGATCTGAAAATTTAGAGAACCGTTGATGCAGTGATTCCGTGAAATATTCCTTTCAAAATAAAAATTTTTCAATGTGTAGAAAAAGTCTGCAAACGAGCGCATTTTCTTATATTTTTAAGGAACGATGGATATTAAAGATCCCTCCTGATCAAGTGGTTGTTGTTTTTCTGGGGTGCCGTCAGAAAAAAGTGTTGGTGATGTGTTCAGTTAGTCTTTAATGACTGTGTGCGAAATATTTCGTATGCGTTCCATGGTTACAATAAAAACCAATGGGTTTCTCGCAAGTTTATGTTCAGAGAAATTAATCAAACCATTATCCAAACCTTTGCCAAGTATCTTTATAACATAACCAAAGTAAAGCGCGCGCTCTGATTGGTCAATTTAGCGTCCCCCATTTGCCCATGGGTGTACGCTGCTGACGTGAACAAATGCAAAGACTATTTTTCCGCGCGCGCTTGTTTTTTTCTTGTCGCGTAAGGTTTGTTAAATAAAAGGGAGCTCTTTAGCTACAATGTATCAATGTTATGTTATAAAACAAATGGTAAACACCACAGCGTACACTATTGAGTTATGGATGCACTTGGGAGGTTTGCTAAGCACTCAAGAAGCTAGAGTCGCTCTCGGCTATCGCCTCGAGCGACTCTTACGCTTCTTTCGTGCTTAGCAACCTCCCGCGTGCATCCATAACTTAATAGTGTACGCTGTGGTGTTTACCATTTGTTAAGTGGGATTTTTCAAGTCGACATTGGCATCATTGAGCAAACCAGTGATCAGTTTCACAGGTCAGGTAACTCCTCGTCAGCCGAGTTCTGAGTCGGCATCATCACACGAGAGCAAATCGTTGTTTGGGTACAGCATGAACAGTTTTCACGGCATTGACGGTATTGAATGACAACCCAGCGATGGGGATACCGACGACACCGAGCAGTAGAAAAAATATATAGCAAACAAATTAAATATTACTTTATTGTTTCAAAAAGGGCCGGTTGTTACGTTTTGAACTGTTTGAAATAGCCCATGTCCGAATTACCCTTGGCCTCATTTTCAAAACGAGTCCTGGTTCTCATCCTTTCATATGATTATAAGTTTTCATTCACATGCAAATTAAACTCATTTTCACAAGAATGGTTGAGCACCAGGCCTCGTTTTGAAAATGAGGCCAAGGGTAATTCGGAAATGGGCTATTGATCACAAACGTCAGCTACCAAGAGGGAATTTATCATAGTACGTTGATCTAAAGGGCGTGTCATGAAAGTCTGGCATAAACCCACTACGTCGATTCATTCGTTCGTTCGTTCGATTTCTCTGCTAAGCTAGAGGTGACTGACTAAGAAATAAAAACACGACTTTTAGCGAGGTATTCATTGAGAAGCAATTCTTTTCTTCAAACCCCTTTTCACTGGTTACTCTATAGCTATAGAACTTATTTGTTTTATAAAAATGTTCTACTGAACTTCCGTTCATCACTGTCAGAGTATTTTTTTGGAAATCTTGCTAGTTTCTTTTGTCTCGCGGATATGACTTGAGGGAGCCGTTTCCAATGCTTAAAAAGTTATTAACGAGTGGCCAGATCTCCTCACTAGCTCCTGTCCTATTTGCCTCGCACTTGACCATCTTTCTTCGCCTGTATGAACTGAACGACGTTTGGTCAGCTTATTTCTCTTTCAGGGCACTTGATTCGCAAAAGGTCCTTTATCTGATCAGGTTCGATTGCATAATTGAATATGTAAAAATCATCCACAAAGCCCCGAAGATATCTCCCTCCCAAGTCAAAGCTTCCCACGCATGCTTTGTAACCCCAGAAGTCGTCAAGAGCCCCATAACCTCGTGAGGTACCGCTCAAAGCGCCGTTCACATACACCTGTGAATAAAACACATGTAGGACATTTATCAATCGTGCTTTCGTCGGCTAGGATCAGGGCTCGTGGCAATCGTAAGATTTCGGTAGAAAATTCCGAATGAACCAATGAAAAGTACCGATACCTTGGCTTCTCCTGAGGTGCTGTTGTAGGAGCCAATCAAATGTGTCCAAACATCAGGCTTGACAATATTATCAGTGATAACACTGAATACTGGATTCTGAAAGCGGTTTCGATGAAACCAGCGAACCTTACCGTCATCAATTTCAAAATGATATCCTCCTATGGGAAATACATAGAAAAAAAGGATTGAAAAAATACTTTTTAGTTACCCAGACCTTAAATCGGGCATTTAATCTCTGCTGTAGTGGTACTCTCTCTGTAACGCACAGGCAAGAGTAGCACTCCTTTTTTTAAAAAATTCTCTACTTTAATTGGTTCTTGACGCTTTCATTCGCAATGTGATTAATGCATTGTCCATTGGTGTTTTGCTTGGACCTTTTGGAGTCCTCGTTGGAAATTATTTGGGCACGAGTCAACAAGTCAAGGCTTGCGTGGAATTGTCATTGCACGACTGAAGGAAAAAAGAACCTAAAACAACAGGATTAGGCCAAGAGTAGAGAGTGAACTCACAGAATAATTATTATTAGGCATCGCCTTTGAGAGCCAGTGGAACTAAGTAGCGTACATGCGTCAAGTCGCTTAAATAGTAGACCCGCGCTATGCGTATAATTATGCTCCCCAGCTTCGGAGCCTCTTAGTACGTCGAAATCTATACATACACACATACATCTTACCCATAATTTGCCCAATGTTCATCACCCGAGCTGTGCTGAAGACAGAATGAAATCCAAGAGTAGTTCCCACTAAGTTTACCCAAGATGCAACTGTTATACCAGCACTCGGTTTGCCTCTGAAGGTTTTATCTTCCAGCAGTATGTCACCGGACTTTCCAAGGCTTGCATAGTGTCCGCAAACTCCTCTGTGTGGAGCGATGAACGCCCCCTTGTCCAAAAAGGCGTTATTACCCTTTTCGGACTCGTCTAGAACCACTTGATTTTCCCACTTCTCGAAACCTAAGTGTAACACTACAAGGATAATAGCAGGGTTAGACATCTGTGTTTTCAGAATGATAATATAACCTCAGAGTTGCAACCTTGTCTTCAGTAAACATACATGGACCCCCAACCTGTGAGGTCAATTTCTCAAGACATTCGTATTCGTATTGTTACTGCGGTGTGAAATCAAGACTTTCATTAATATCTTTTAGCAGTTATTGGGATATTTCAATCAATTTGATGGCCATTGTAGGTTACTGTCAACAAAATCTTGTAAAAAATGTCAAATCCCTCTTTCTTTTTTTCGCTCTTTAGTTAGAGAAAGCAGTTCAGCTTAATTTTTTGGAAAAAAATTGTAGAAGATGGTGAATTTAAAGCTGGTTAACGGGACTAAGAAAGTTATTTTTTTATCTTGTATTTCTCCAAGTTGAATTGAACTTTACACTTTAGGACTGTGTACTCAGACGCTCTACCACTGAGCTGCAGAAACTCAGCTGTGCGGTAGCAATTATTAGGTTGATATGCGACACGCGCGCTTTCCAAATTGCCAGGATAAGCGTAGTCGAAAGCCTCGTGTGAGTAAATGGAACGTGAAGACGGTAAATTTAAAGTTCGATCACGGAATGAAGAAAGATGACTCTTCGTCTTGTCAAGAGCGTGGGACAAAGAATAAAGAAGAACATTAAAACTTACCTGGACACCCTGGACGAAAACACGAGATGGTTTCAAATTCTTGACCTGATCTGGGACAGGCCACTCCATCACACATTCGGGACCGAGTTCTTTTGCCAACACCACACGTCACAGAACATTCCGTGTAAGGGGACCAACTCAAAGCGTCAGCTGGGTAAATATGTAGAAAATGTTGAATTAGTATATGCTTAATGCCAGGTACCTCTAGAAAATTAACTTCATGCATTAAAAGTGGCACATTTATTTAACAATAGCGATCGATCGCGATCCGGGCCAGGCAAAGATTTCAGCCATTCATGAGACGATTACAAGATATGCATTGTGCCAACCGCTATTCAACCATCCCTTAGTTTTCTCATTCATTCTCTTTTTTAGATCTTTCTTTTTTAAGCGCTATTGCAATTTTGAACTGGTTAATTTCTTGTTTAAATCCATATAATTTTTATCGAAGGCAACTCTTATTCATGATAACCGATACATACCCGAACAAGTGGCGCTTACGCAAGGGATAATCTGAGTCTCCATTCCTGGAGCCGTGCATTGCTCAACATTGCACCTCCGGTACCGTTTTCGGATACCTGATCCACAGGTCACGCTGCATTTGCTAAATGCTCCCCACTCAAACTGTCCATGATTGTGAATGGTGCTCGTTTTGCTGCTTTGAAGATCGTTGACCTGTTGCTTGTTCAAGATGCTTGTCTGTTTGGAAGTATTGCTGACAGGAAGTGGAAGCTCTGGATGAGCGTGAGGCCTTGTGGGTAATCCTGTGACAAGGTGATAACTGTTTTGATTTTCTGCATTGGAGATTTTTGTTTGAACATGGTAAGGACGTGGAGCGTATTTATTGAATTGGGCTGCTTTTCCCCCTGACTTGCTTATTACTAAACTGGGAAACATTGTTGCTTTCCCGCCAGCGTGTTCCTCTGTTACTGCTCCCGTTCCCACGGCGGCAGATTTACCCTTAGGTGACGCTTCCGCTTTCGCGTGAAGCTTTGAATTAGCTTTGGAGGCACCAGTCTCGTCTGCGACTTTGAAGGACGATTCGCTGTTATCGGTCACTTCTACTGGCTTGAAGCTTTGACCTTACAATACAAAAAAACCCTAAAAAATTAGTTTTCTATCACTGAAATGCATTTTTTCTCTGTCATGTACGACACCTACAAATGTCGCAAGAGGGCGAGAAGAAAAATCTTCATATAACAGTACAAACCTACCCAAGTGATCACAGCCATAAAGCTCTGCCCGCATGCAAATATGCACACCATACCAAGCCTGTGGATGTATTCTGACGTAACGAGCTGTAATTGGATGTCTTAAGTGACGCACTGCTATGGTTTTGCTGTCATCGTTACCAACAAAAATCTGCGAAATTGAAAAGTTTGATGTTTTTAGGGATTTAAAACGTCTTGCATCATCCTTTAAAAGAAATGGCGAACTCATCTTAAAAATAAATGTCCATGAAAATATATTTGAGCAGACCCACCTGTATATCGAATAGAATGAATAACAAAACAATTGTAAACAACATTAATCGATAAAATTACAAAATATCTCACTTGGACACACAAATATACAAGCAGAGGAGAAATTATTGTTTGATACCTTTTGTCTGTTATCCTCTGTGTAGTTTGTCCACTTCAACCCGTTTGCACTGTAAGTGATTCGATACCTAACAACCCAGCGCTCATCACTAACCTGTCCTTGTGTTCCAATACCTGAACAAAAGGAGAAAATGAAAGTAAAGGAAAACTCGATTCATTGGCCTTGTTCATGAGAAGTTTATGTCAAAGTAGAATCGATGCGCTACAAGCGTGACCAAGGCAGGATTTCTCCTCACAACACCAAGCAGACCGGTGATGAGAATAAAGAAAAATATCAATTAGGGGGTTTTAGGTTGATCCAATACAAACTAAACATGAGAAGAACTGTGTGGCAGACAGTAAGGAAAATCTTAGGAGAGAAAGGGTTAAAGGAGAGAAGCAATATCTTTCCCATGGATATTTTTGTCTTGACTAGCTCAGGAAACAACAAAGAAGAACCAAGACATTCCTATTTAATTTAATTGAATTTAATTAAAGTTAAACAAAAATATACGCAATAATATTACGCAGCAACAAACACGTGTTACTATTAATTTTGTTATTATCAGGAATGTTATAATCCACGGCTGACCTGTGACTTTTCTTGGCTTTTTGAGATCAATCTCTAGATATTGTTCCTTATCTGCCAGTTTTGCGCACCAGCTCCCCCTTGTGGACACACGTTCGTTGCGAGCAGTTATCACGCGTGCGTAGAAGGCAGGGTGTGCCTTGTCTATTGTGGATGAACCAGAGATCTCGTGGTCCAAGATGGTACCATTTGACATTCCCATTGGTGAAAAACATTCTTCAACATTAGGTAAACCAAAGGAGCATTGGTTATTAAAAAAAGTATACATTTTCGACTGCATTAATGAAAAAAGGCTGATAGTTTCGAAAGAAACTGTTTGGGGCTACCTCGGTGGGGGTAACGAAATAATTTGGAAATATCAACAAAGTTGAAATTGTAAATTGGCCACCGTAACGATTATAAAAGGTGACGTTTCGACGTTTCGCTCCGACGAAGGGCTAACGCTCGAAACGTCTGCTTTTGTAATCGTTACAGTAGCCAATTTACCATTTCAACTTTGTTGATATATCCAAATTATTACATTAATGAAACACTGTTTCATAAGTTTTCATAAGTAAAACATAAGACAATGTCTGAACTAAAGACAGCATCTGGAAGACGAATAGACCTTGAAAAAAAAAACCTGTTGAAGACAGGGTAAGAGTAAAATGAGCAACATCCCAAATAAGGGCGGTTTGTAGTTGATTGAGGCGTATCTTGGCAACCAAAGTAGGAAAAGAAGATGTTGTGCAATTTTTTCCAACACGAAATCGATGATGTAATAATGTTTTAGAGCAACAGTAATCTTCTGAGTGGGGTATATTTATGGAAATTTCCTACAGTTGGACTTTACCTGGGCAGCTTGGTCTGGTACATGGCACTTTCTCAGTGTAAGACTCTGTTCCAGGTGGACAGTTTTGATTTCGTTCGTTGCCCTTTGGTTGGCATTTTACGACCCTTTTCTTCGTGCCTTTTCCACAGCTCACACTGCAATCGCCAAAATTTGACCATGAAGTGAGCGGATTTACAATTTCTATCGCAGAAGAATCAGCTTGAACTGTATCAGACAGCAATCCTGGAACAATCATAGATCAGGTAAAAAATAAGGTTGATCAGTCTGTGTCCGTCTATATCTCGTCTCCTTGGCCCTGCTGAAATCAATTCAGAATGCCACACATGCGCACCACTTGATCTGAGATGCAACTTCTCCGGGGAAGGCGAACCCAAGGCGGTTAGGAAACAGTTTTATTGAATCTTCAACCGATTAACATTTCCAAATATAAATCTAATATTCTAGAAGTACTACGCATTATCAACATCCAATCATTAAAAATGTAATAAATTGACAGATTTACCTGGAATGCAGCCGTACAACTCAACCCTCATACAAATATGATCTCCGTACCACGACAGAGGGTAGATTCGTATATATCGTCCATCGAAAAATCTTTGTAACCAATGAATCTTGACAGAATCTTTGTCGTCACTTCCCTGCAATGACTGTATTGATGACAGACCACTGTCAACTTAATTACCAGAAATGATGCGCTAAAAGGGCGTAAGTAACAATTTGTGGATTTTTCCTACGTTTTACCGTACCAACATGAATATGCCTCTGCTTCATAGAAAATTTGTTTGAAAATTTGTGTCAGTCAAGGGAAAAAAGAGCTATTTGCAGCTATAACAATGAAGATCGAGTCATGTCCAGATTGGTGGAATTTAGAAGTATAACTCACTATTTCGGTTACCGATGCGAGGAAATCTCTTCTTTATACGTTTTTTCTGTTTTCGTAGTTGCCTTCACTTCCAGTCAAGTCGAAGTCAGTCCCCTAAGATTTCCTATAAAATTTCCGAAGTCGAAATTTCAAAATCAAACATTGTCATACCTCGCCTGTTAAATCCTCGGTTACGCACTGAAATGTCCTCCCATTCTGACTGTAACAGAGTTTGAAGCTGGTGACGTAATTGTCAGCAAGAGAGGCACCCTGTAAAGCCACACCCGATAGCGTCTTCTCTTCTCTGAGATCCACAGTTAGGTACGGTTCTTTGTCATCCTCATCTGCACACCAGGCTGTCCTCTGAGGATCGTCGTAGAATGAAACAAGATTCAAGCGGCCGTAATACGGTTTATGGACATGATACGTCGACGAGGCAGTTATTTGTCCGTCCCTTATTTTCATGTCTTCCATTCCTAATGGTGAGAAGCATTCTACAAAGAAGGTATGAAATAGGTTGTTCAAGAGACCCTCCACTGAAAGGGTTTAAAAGAGGAAGCGCTTTTTTTTTTAGTGGATTTTTTTAAGGTTTCTTCAAGCAACTTAAATCTTTCGTAGGGAGTACAAAGGATACCTATTGAAGATTGAGGATAGATGCCGCGATGCTTGTTTTGTTTTTTTCCGAGATGAGGACTTGCATTCAACACACACAATCGTGGGCGAACTTTAATAAACGTTTATTTTCTCCTCAAATAAGTAGTCGTACATACCTTTTTCAAATTCACATCTCTGCATCAATTTTTTAATTTCTTCCTGACTCAAAGCTTCGTTTGACATATAAAATTCATCAATTTGCCCGTCGAAGAGTCTCTCTCCTTTGTGCTCACCGATCCCAGCTTTCTCTTGCCAGTCTTGTGACAATTCTCCCGAGCCATCCCCCCTCAGAACAAACTTGGCGTTAACGTAGATGTCTGCTTGACCTAATTTAGCCTCGTAAGTGCAAGCAACATGCGTCCAGACGTGAGATGGAACGATTACCTCCGACGTAACGTTGAAAATGATCTGACCACGTTCATTTCTGTGAAACCACCTCACTGAGCCGCTGTCGATTTCTAAATGATACTGACCATTATCGTGTGATGAGTTAACTCCGCCTATTGTGTCAAACAAAGAGTTTGTTCCATCGACAGAGAAGAGCTTTATCCACGCTGCTATCGTTACGGCTACACGTGGTTTTTGCTTGAAAGAAGGTCCATTTAGTAATATGTCTCCTCCGTTCAGATCAACGCCATTGCCACATCTTTCACTGAACTGAGCCGTTTTTGCGAAGTTCACAATTTTGGCGTCATTATGAAACTGAGATTCGTCCACTATGATGTTGTCCTTTAAGATGTATTCAAAGCGGAGGTATACTACGGCTTTTTCAATCGCTGAGAAAAAATGACAGTACAATCGAATATCATGTGGGAAATTAACTCCATAAGATCGATGGTGCAATAAATACCAGCAAAAGCTCTCCATAAGATGTCCAGTTATAAATTAGTTCTGAATGATTAGATTCAGCAAATTGGCCGATGGCAAGGACCTAAGCAGCTTTTGACTTGTTTTAGGCGTTTTCATAGACCTGGTAGCGTGCTTACGTAATGCTTTAACGTTACGAGATTCATTCTTGCTTTTCTTTGATAATGAAAAACATGAAAGTATGTCGAAAAGAACGTTCAAATTTGTTTCAACCTTTGCAACAGTCATACTTTGAACGTCAAAGCGAGCGGAAAAAATTGTAGGCCCAGGCTTGCAGGGCTATGGGCCGGCTACACCCCCGGACAGATTCAGCATTTGGCGCGCCTTTAAGAGAAAAATCCGTCATATTTCGTGTTAAGTAAAGGCCACTATTTGGCTCTGATCTGTTTGATTCAACTGACAACACATGAGCCCTCAAAGTGTATCTTTACGAAATACTTTTTTTGGCAACATGACATTCATTAGACTCATTATTGAGGAAGTTTGCGGCGCTGACTTCTGATTTTTCTCCTCCCTTCCCGAATTTGGTAAATCCAGTAGACAAACAACCATTTTGAACTAACTGAGCAGTTATTTTACAATCCGGATGTGCCAATTACTTACTGGACATAATGCTAAGATCCTCCTCGCTTAGTTTTCCTGAAAAGCAAGCAGTTATCACAAGAATCAAAGGAAAGCTATCAAAACATTTACGGCATATCGGCAGTTTTGGTTCAGTTAAAAGAGTGTGTTTGTTGTCGTTGCTGGGTTTTTTGCCGTTGATGTTGTTGTTGTTTTATTGAAAGAAATCTCACAGGAGTGAAATATTCTTCCATGGTTTGTGCAGTTAGAGTTGTCTCCTTGTATCTGTGTCACTTAAGGTAATAACAAGTTACAGAAACATGTTTTATTTTTAATTTGACACTATTTGTGTCTCAATGAGTGTTCTTAATAATAATAAATAATAAATGACAATTTATATAGCGCCCTATCCAAAAGCTCTAAGGCGCTTCACAATCAAGGTAAAATAATAATCAAACGTAATCATTCATTAAAATAACGCTTAAAAAGATAAGTTTTAAGATTACGCTTAAACTTAAAATCTGTACTACATTTTATGGTTTTAGGAATGTCATTCCACAACTTAGGTGCAGAGACAGAAAAGGCGCGATCGCTTGATAGAGGAGGCAAAACGATTAGCAGACAAGTACATAAACATAACCTGAAAGATATCTAAAACAGTCCAACCTTTCATCTTCATGGTGTCACTATCGTCATTTTCGCCTTGTGATTCGCTCTCTTTGTTTGCCTTCGCGATTTTTTCCTTCTCCTTCTTCTCCTCATCTGGCGAAGTCACTAGAGTAAACATGCGAAACCGAAACATCCATTTATATTTCTTTAAGAGATTATGAACACTTCTTTCCTTGTAATCACTTCATTTATTTTTAGTGTTTCAATGCTTCCTATTGAATGTAGGTTACGGAATCCAGCTAAAACAAATACGCTGGTGAAATCTTTTGGCCATACATAAATGCATGTTCGTCCAAGATGGCTGCATTATAGTGGCCTTCTTCGTCTTTCCCCTTTTAGGGATATTTATCGCTGGGGATGTGGAAGGTGGCCCTCTTCGTCCTTTCCCTTTTAGGGATGGGTCATCATCGCTGAGGATTAGGAAGGTGGCCGTCTTCGTCTTCCCATTCTACGGATGGGTCATTATTTATCGCTGGAGATGGGGAAGATGGCCCTCTTCGTCCTTTCTCGTTTAGGGATTGGTCGTTATTTATGCTAATGTCCCCCCCCCCTTACTGGCAGTTAACTTACAGTCATTTTTCCACTGTCCCACCCTTTATACTCTATTGGTGACGACTGATCTCCTCCTCCGTTCTCCCTGAAAACCATGTGATCCCCCAAAACTCCCCCCCCCCCCGTCGATAAATAAAGATTGGTCCCGTTAGACGTTGCATCGGTCCATAAAAATTGTTGAACTCACGCTTGGTCAGTAACGCATACATTCAGACGACCCGGCCTTTTGGCATGCACTCAATTCGATACATGATCGGGGGGGAGCTGATGATTCAGACCAATCGAATATGCGATGCATTGAGTGAAATGCATCATACAGATATTAGATTATTAGCATATTTACCATTTCTGCAGCCAAAGAGTTCAATCCTCATGCAGTTGGTTAGACCACTCCATGTCAAGGGAAGAACACGAACATACCGAGCTATGAGCCTTGGAAACCAGTGAGTCACTACTGAGTCACGGTCCTTGTTACCTGTGAAGTTCTTCAAAAAGTATCGCAAAGAATAATTATTTCTTTGAAAAGAGGTATCTAGGTGTGGTTATCGCAAATAATTTTCCTGACAAATGTTTTGCGTAATACATAATTCACATTCTCAACCGTGGGTTTCATAACTATTGCCATTAGCGGGTGCCGATGGTGTTAGAGGTAGTTGTACTGCAAGGTGAAACCCAAAATAGACGGCGGTAAGCTTAAGTGGTCTTGCAAGCGGCGGCAATGCGCTGGAAGCTGGCCGTTATTAAAATTCCTGTTCTAAACTAGATTGATTTGAAGTTAGTGTTGAAAATTCTCCATTAGATCGTTTGGGTGTATCTCGGCAATACTAGATTTTGAAGTAACTTGAGTCTCTACTATCGGACGATTTACCATTTGTTGATATCACTGTCACTGTTTCACCTGTACAGACCAGGTTACTGGGTCGTTATCCTTGAGCAGCTAGATTTACAGCGAGGAGCGAAATATTTTCTTTATAAGAATAAGTATGATTTTGAGGCTTATGTTTCCTCGTGCGACTAGTTTCTCTTCGTTAGTATACGACCAGCCTTTAAGTTTAACTATGTTATTTTTGCACTTACTCTGGGACTACTGTCTCTTTTTCTTCCCTCCGTCACCATTAACCAGTGCTTGCCGTTAATACTGTATGACATGGCATACCTAGTCACCCAGTTGTCAAACATGGACTGACCTTGTGTTGAAATACCTGTTTTAACATAGATTGATTTTAAAAAGCAAGTAAACGTGATTTTTTGAGGAGACCATTACCTTGCGAAAGGGTTGAGTTGGGTAACTAACTACACAAGTAACAAAAACAGCAACAGCATAGCTCGGTTGAGGAGAGAAGAAGACACTAGCTTACCTGAGATACCTGTTTTATTGCCCAAGTCTATTTCAAGAAATTCCGTCTCGTCTGCAAAGGCTGAACACCACCCCCCTCGGGAGCCTTTGACGGTTTTGTTCAGACGGGCGTGGTAAGGTTGATGGTGCTCGTCATAAGATGAAGAAGCTGTAAACTGGGAATCCTTTATCATTCCTCGGCTTATACCAAGAGCTTCTTGACAGTCTGTAACCAGTCATATCAGTATGTTACAAAATTAACTCACTCATCAGTAATCTACCATGCTAAAGAAAACATAAGAGAGCTCATCTGAGCTGCTTTTATCAAAATGGAAATGAGTCAGCCTTAGATTCATGTATTTGAAAATGAACGATTATAACTGACTAGTTGGTATTTTTTGTTAATCATTAATCCTTATTCGTCCATTTTGTTATGAACCACTAAAATCAGAAGCGTTCGAAAACTGCTAAAATTAGGATTGTTCTAGCTAAGTGTTTGGGAATTGCTCAGGCCCGTTAGATTATCTTGAAATCCTTATGTGAGTCTTGTGAGCCTTGGTTTGTTATGTGCTGCAAGACCACACATTTGTAATAGGGCTTAGTTCTCGTACGATGATCGTCATCGCTATTTGAGTTTAGGTTTGTCCTTGACCTTGCTTAGAGTACTCAAAGGAATTTTTTGTTTAGGTTTCAGTTCGAATGTCGTGTGAGATTGTTTTGGTCAGCGTTCAAAACGTATGTTTACTCTGCCAAGGTCGGTTGTCTCGTAATCCCAAACATGGCCACCGATAGGGTATTTAACAGCGTGCAATTAGGGCTGAATCAGAGAGAGACAAAGTCTCAGAGTAAAATAAAGTTCCTTATTAGACTCTTTGTGCCTTCCGTTTGCACGTGTTGTTCTAGTTAGCTTACACAAACTGTCTAGCACTTCTTTATTGGTGCTTCTTTTTCACTCTGTTGCTCAAACAAACTGTAAAATATGGAACGATATGTTCTCCCGACTACAGATATTCAATACAGTTTTTATGACATGTACCTTTTGTTGGAGTATCTAAACTGGGGCAGCGGCTTTTGCCATTTAACTCTCGAGATATCTTGCCATCTCCAACATTGGACGCCAACCACTTGTGACTTACAAACTCGTATACACAGCCATCTGTTGCTTTAATCTTCACCTGAAAAAGAATTGAATAATGAAAGACGTTCAACATTTAACAAAAGCGTGGAACGAGGAAAAAGTTAAGCTACCCGCGAGGATTAGTTGAGCGCCGGCTGTAGTGTTCGTCAAATAAACTTTGTGATGGCAAACTTGAAATAACGAGTGTAAGAGCGATCTTCGCAGTAACCAACACTACTTAAGCAGTAGTGAAAATAAGGCCTGAAAAAATTCAAGCCTGTACGAGATTCGAACCCATGACCTCTGCGATACCGGTGCTCTACCAACTGAGGTAACAATAATGACTAGCTCCCAGTTGGCTTGTTAGCCTAGTCATGTGGTAGAGCACTGCACCGGTATCGCAGAGGGCATGGTTTCGAATCCCGTAAAGGCCTGACTTTTTTTCAGACCTTATTTTCACTACTGCTTAAGTAGTGTTGGTTACTGCGAAGATCGCTCTCATACTCATTCTTTAACCACAGCTCATGAATTTCATATATTCCCAAACTTAAACTCATCACTTCACGGGTTTATTACGAACCAACATAATGACCAGCTCCCAATTGGCTTGTTAGCTCAGTTAGTAGAGCACTGCACTGCACCTGAATTTTTTTCAGGCGTTATTTTCACTGCTGCTTAAGTAGTGTTAGTTACTGCGAAGATCGCTCTCATACTCATTCTTTAACCGCAGTTCATGCATGATTTTCATATATTCACAAACTTAAACTTGAAATACTTAGTAATTCAAATTTGCATGGTATTTCTGATTATCATGAGCACAACAGATTAAATTGAAGTGTGTGTTGTTTACGAGCAGTAATTTCATCGGTTTTAGTACAAATTTGGAAAACAACACCAGCCAGCTCGATTTCCGGAGGTACGATGGACGCCGAAGAAGAAACACGTAAGCACATTTAAAAAGTATTCTAGAACATTCAAGAAGCTTACTGCCGCTCCGTCACATCAGTTTTTCCCGCGCTGCAGGTAGTTCACTTCATTTTTTTTTTTTTTTTTCACTTTACTTCTCAATGCTTTATTGATCAATTTTCCTTTGTTTGATCAGCCGCCTTGATTACTTTGGTTTTCTGATTTTACAGCTCAACAAAAGGTTCTGTAAATTCTATGTCCTTAGGTAGTGCGCATGCGTATAAGTAATCATTACCTTGTCTAAATACCATCCAGATCCAAACCAGCTGTTGTCGTGTCTTATGTTGATGGCATTTAGTTTCCCCAAGTACTTAGTTTCAATGACAAATTTATCCTTCCTGAAAATAGACGCCGATACTATTGTCATAGAGGTATATGTGAACTTTATAGATCCTCATTTCTAGATAGACTTGATGCTAAACTCATGATATTTAAATTAAACTACGGCAGTCACCTATTTTTTTGCTGTCCCCTGACAGGAATCTCAAACATTCGGTTTGACTGCGGGCTCCAAGAGTAATCTCTAATCAACTCAGTTGATTAGACCCAGCACAGAAGCAGCACTACAGTTTCTTCATAGATTTACCTCCTTTATTCTTAAAAAAATGAGTTTATCATTAGTCCAACTTACTGTCCTTTTTCGAAGTCGTTCCTTCCTTTGCTTTCTAGCTCTATTTCTTTTGAGTGTCCCTTTTCACCAAACAGGGTGATGAATACTCGCGCATCTGTTCCAGCTCCAAACTTGTTACCAGTGAAGATGTAAACCTCATATTTAGTTTTGGATGCTGACGGTGCGAGAGTAGAGAAATACACCCATGAAAGTATATTTAGAGATTTAGAAGCACTTTTATGATACAGAAAAGTTGTTGGAAAAAGGAAAAAGTGCACACTATAATCGCGAAAGATAGTCTGGGTATCCAGTAATAGTGAATTTTGGTAAGTCAAATTAAATAAAGAAATAAATTTATCAAACCCGATATGTCTCGTCCTTACGGTGACGTTTTCTCAGATTTCCCTGCATTTTAAAGTCAAGAAATCGGGACCTGAAAACTAACCATAAGACCTTTTGGGGTTGTTGCGTGCGTGCTTTTTTCCCCACAACCTTTTTCGAAACAGTTGTATATTGATGGCGAAGCGTCCTCTTAACATTATTTCAAAGCTTGATAAAAAGGTCTACTCGACTAAAATCTCTCTCCATAAGCTAGAATTGCTCCCGGCCTCGCCTCGAGTACCTCTTAGGCTTCTCTCGAGCTCTCCAAACTTCTTGCGCGGATCCATACCTTGATATGCGCACGCTAGGTAACTAATTGTTAAAAGTAATGACTTATACTAGACTCATACCTAAGTCTTTCTCCTCTCCTATTCATTGTTATCGAACCGGCACTGGACTTAGTTATTCAGTTATGCAATCGGAAACTCCGGTGTAATTCATTTAAAATAAATAACTGTCAGTTGGCCCATTTTGTTTGCTTGTTTCGGACTTTTTTATGTTTTTGACGCTGTTTTATTTTTTGTCTTATTTTTTTTTATAGAGACTGTCGCCCAAACTAGGAAACTGTGGGTGATTAATTCGCTAAGTCATCAGTGACATAAAAACTTGTTCACGCAAATTCTACTTGACATGTTAAACATGTACCTTAATGGGGCCTGTTTGACAGAAACAGGATTTTTGTTTGGACATAAAAAGGCACAAAAATAGTTTGCCGTGTCTGAGACGCGGATATAGTGATGTATGATTAAAAAGATCTGAAATACTGGATTCGCAGGTGAAAGATTATAACTCCAATATAAGTTCATCCGATGCAGCTTCTTTCAAGGTTTTACCAGTTACCTACCTGCTATGAGACCAGTTAATAACAGAAGTAGAGTAAAAAACACCACAGAATTTTGCATCCTGTCTTTTCACATCTGGGCAACTACACAAGAAAAATTAATACGTTCATCGAAAATACAAAAATTTCCTCAGCAATTATAACAAAGTCTGATTACCCTTCTTGCCTTTTACAAACGACCCTTCAGAGAAAGGGTTGCACGGCAAAAATGCTAAACACTAATTAAATCGTCGTGGTATTTCGCGCCATAGTTTTTGTCTTGAAAATTAAAATAACATGTTCTTATTTTGTTTATGTTAATCATAAATGTTTATCAGAGCACCAGATTCAATCGTCAAATTAGTTTCTTTAGTAAAACGTTGCCATTGGTTCGCGAGAGGTCAACTAATACGGTGTAATATTTTTTTTTTACAACAATGACAGTCATGTTTGCCCGTAAGCTTTCCAATTTTGGTCAACCAGTCCATAACACCGTTCATGACAAAAGATGAATCTGTGAAGCAGTTTCTTACCTGAGATGAATCTCGTGTCGTTCATTGTTCAATTCCATTGAGAGAAGCTTTCTTGAGGTTCACCCGATTGAATGTCACAGTTGAACACGGAAATATCAATCCAGCGGTTTTACGGCTCATTTCAGGCCAAGCAGCTTTTCGTAAAATTTTTGTCGCTATATTTATAGGTAATTTTAGTCAGAATTTCGAATTTCCTGCCTTTGTCTGGAACGAATAAAGATGAAGTCGACTCGTAAATAACTTTAGCACTTCACCATGAAGGATAAAGGAGATCTTGGTGTATTATTGATATGAAACTCATGAATATTTAAAATTAAGATTGCAGTTCGACCTAGAAGAATTTTTCAACACTTAAAAAGGGAAGTCCTAACTTTGTCCACACGCTCAACTTTTGGGAAATCAAACTCCGTCTTTGGTTAACAGAGCAACGTTGAGTGCATAATTCATTTTTTTTTAAGCTTGTGGTTCTTTTCTTACAGAACAGAGACGCAGCTGCGCTAGTTTCGAATTATACAGACCAGGCGAAGGTTTTCATCGAGTCAAACCGGCAAGGTTTCGAAATAAGTGAGGCGCTTGACTCATTTACAGACTTTCTAGACGAATTGAAATAATTATCGGAGTCGAAAGAGAATATTTGCGATATCGCATTATATCTATTGAAGCTAATACCATCATTACTGATCCAAATGTAGATTTAAATAACTGCTCGTCCCAGGGCTTGTCGTACCCTAAACCAAGCGCCTATTTCACCTCAATTTTCCCACTTTGTCCTTTTGCGTAATTCGTTTGTACAAGCTAACCTCTCAATTTATCCGCGATGAATTGGCAAGAATGCATAAGAGGAAATATGTTCAAAGAAGCTACTTCGTTAGGTGGCAAGCTAATATTACGCTGTACTTCCAACTATTTCGGCGAGGGGGTTTGGGCCAGAGCCCCACCCCACCCCATTGTTCTGCCGACTGCCTATGTAGAAGTATTGTGTTGTATCTGACAAATCAGTCTAGGTTTCATCACATCCACCGCATATCTTCACCACAGGGAACTTTTGCCAAGTCTTTAAAATATATAAATGATCGCAAAAGCGAAAAGGAAACAGTTGTTAGAGATAGGAAATGTATTATGTTCGATATTTCAAAATTTTAAGGAAAATTCAACTAGATTAACCTGCAACGCCCATTGAGTTCGTTAACTATAAAATATTATCAATATTACCAAAAGGACGTAAAGACAGCAGAGTGACAATAACTCCCAAAAAAGAAACAACAACTTTGAATTTAAATTTACAAGACATGTTTCGACATTCTCATGTCATCTTCAGTTGCAAATGAGCTTTTACAAAACTACACGTAGTTTGTAACGTACCTTAATTTAAATTCAAATGTACAACAGTTAAATGCTCATTTGCAACTGAAGATGACATGAGAATGTCGAAACATTTCTTGTAAATTTAAATTCAAAGTTGTTGTTTCTTTTTTGAGAATTCTTAATATTCATTTTTATCTTTCGTTATACCGGCTCAATTTTTTATTGATATCACATGAAGAAATCACACCCAATGCACCCGAGTAGGAAATTGGCGGAATACATCACAGTACAAGGTACTTCCTTACAATCTTAAGATGCTTGTATAATAATAGAGTAAACAGCCCTCACCATAGCTTCAATATCAAACACTCCTTGTGTAGTTGATACGATAATTATGGCTTGTCGCTAGATAAATGAAACATTCAGTACCACATATTCTAGTTACCATAGAAACCGAACATCTATCTCCATGTCAAATTCACGATCACAATAAGGAAAGATAACAATTACTCTACTTGCAAAAGAAGACGGTCAAAGAAATAGGAAATGATCAACTTGCTTATTATATTTTTTACTGAATGGCTCAGGATAATATCTATATTGTTTCCATTCACTTTCTGACACCAAGACAAGGAAGTTCTTAGAATGCTTTTAGATGAGATAAGATCTTAGTTAATTTTATTGTTTAACATATTTCTCTGTATACATTATCTGTAAATCACTACTTATTACGGTCTCACATATCACTCTTTAAAAGTTTAGCATACCTTAAGCTTCTTCATAACCAGAAAATTTTGATTTACGGAGTATTGCTCTTTTTGTTTTTGTCTTTTAAACACATTTACTGGATAAGTAGTTATCTGTGACGACCAATTTATCTCACGAATGGTACAGGCCTTTTAAGTTCGGTGCAACTCAATACTAAACTCGATTTTTTTAGCCAAGAACGCTTCATAAGTAATAATAACTAGATTCATAGTTAAAACAGTCCTCAGGTATCCTAAACCTTGTCACTACGAGAAAATTTTGAAGTCTGTTGACTGCGAACTCTTGAGGGGATTATATGTTGCTTACTTTGTATGTTTGCCGCCATTCTAGTGCGCATGCAAATAGATGGATTGCAGCTATTCGCTTAGGTAATAGTCTGATAGGTTTTAAATCCGTGTTTCATGAAATGATTTAAAGGGGCTATTCAGTGCACAGTGATTAGGTCCAATGTGTCGGAGCAGGATCCAACCTGAAACTCTTATCAAGGGTAACCAGGACCCCACAAACATTATTAATTGCCCCAAAATTGCCTTTGAATGAGACTTTGTGACATGAAAGGTTTGGTGACTTTCTCTTGCACTGTACGCCTGATGAAAAGCAAGTGGAGTTCACATTTGATCTTGATTCAACCAATGGTAGTTCCTTTCATACATTCTTTTCGTTCCTCTGTGACATTTCTTAAGTGGCGATCACCAGTCAAGCGACACCAGCTTACCTGTGGCAAATACTGGTGGCTTTACCCTGCTCTCATCCCTAGAAAGAGTGAACATTGTTTCTATAGGAACACAAGAAGTCACCAGCATAGGTTAACAGAAAGAAAAGAACATTTATTGGTGTACCGGTAACACAACCCCCTCGTTGCTAGGATTTTATTTGGATGCAAAGAATAAAAAGTGTTTTACTTTTGGTGGCGAGCACCAGAGCATCTGGAGGATTCAAGGGAAGAATTTGATTTTTTCACGTATTGATGATTTTTCTACTCGACTAATTTCGATGAAATATTGACTGCCGCAACCTGCCGCTTAATTGTGCCTGAGTTGTTTTTCTAAACAAAAGAGTCTACTTGAGATATTATAGAGAGACATCGACTGCAAGAGCACATCGTGAATTCGAAGAGGAAAAATCATTTCTGATTTCATGTACGTAAGTCGTATAATTCAAAGATTTTTCTTTTCCATTAGACCAGAGCTTGGCTTAATATGCGAGTAGTGAAAGTGTGATAACAATTAGTATATTTTGAGCAATTTGGTTGTTATCTGAATTCATAATGACGATAAACAGTGTTGGTAGCCAAAACCATTCGTTACTAAAACAAAATAATACAATTCGTAGATTTTTCCGAGCAACCATTTCTTTCTTTAGAACATGTTTCTAGTCGCTACCTTGACGCAGCTAGATTCATATCATGGCGTTCCAACACTTCAAAGCCAAAGTTGTACAGCGATTGCTTCATAAAGTTCCACTGGTTTTCCGGCAAATATAGTTCTTTCCTTGAAACAAAAAACTCCCAGATTATCAAGTAGAATGGACATTTCGAGCAAAATTAACGATGTGAACTGCAGTGAAATACGAATATTCTTAATTCAGTAGGTGGTTTGGTTTACTTTCTGATCACACTGATCGATTACGCTGGAATTTTTTTTAAGCTTCTCTCGCATCTCTTTTGAAGGCGCTTTTAAAGTTTTCTCTAATAGGTATTCAAATGGTGTCTTTAATTCTAGTTTTTCACTGATCGGTAAGCATGGCTCAAGGGTTGTAAAATGTCAAGATATTTCACTAGTAAATAATGGAAGTCAAAGTAGACGTGAAACTTATATTCTACCTGTAGCTGTTTGTCACGTGGATTTAGCATTTAACAAGTGTGCTTGAAAAGTCTGAATTTGATTTGATTTTTATCTTCTGAGAAGCAAATAGATTGGCAGTTGTAAATTGATTTTCTCATTAGTCTGGCAGAGCTTTAGAAGCATAACGGTCGAATAATAATAATAATAATAATAATAATAATAATAATAATACTTAAAAAACAAGTGTTAAACTCTGAAGCTTTCTCCGAACGGTTCTTTGCTTAACCAGAGCTTCATGTAGAACGTTCTTGGAAAGATCTTGGTATAGCTTACATTTATTCTTAGTATTCTGTGATAACTTAAGAATAAAACGTGTAACTACCAATTGATTATTGAAAGTGAAAACTGGGTATTAAACTGAGTGCGACTATATGAGTCATTCATTCACACTACGTTAATATAGTAAGAATTCTTGTTAGGATCGGAACACAGGTAAAATATGTTGATATGGATCAAAATAAGTCTATGGAACAATTAAAAGGCGGAAACTTTTGTTCTTTTAAAGATCGTTATCAATAAGTGGATTGTACATGAAACAGTGATACGAAAGCTGACAATTAACTGACGATAAACGTTCCTTCATGATGTGTCTACTAAAAATGATTAGATATTACTCTTTAGGCGATAAAAACCTGTGTTTATCAACAATGACGCACTTACGTCAGCGGGAGGTCTGAGATAATTTTTGAGGAAAAGTTAGAAGCAGCCTGGTTAGGGTATGGTTAAAGCTTCAACCGATTTGTTAGCTTAAAAGTGAAAAACAGTTTGCAGCCAAAAAAGGTTTGAACATCACGATTATTATTGATTATTATTGATTATTATTTGATACTCTGTTAGTCTGGTCATAACATTTGCTGTCGGTAATTCATTTCCAGGTTGATTCGGTGACAATGGACTCCTTTGGTCCTGTTTATACATTGTTCCTCTCAGCAATTGTCTTAGGTATTTATTCAACACTTTTTTTTATTGTGTAGTTTTGTTGCACGATTTTCAACGTTTGGTAATTAGGTATTTCTCTACCTCATTCTCATTTTGCTGAAGGCTCTTGAAGTACAAAAGACTGAAACATCCGCGTTTTAACTTCAACTTCTGGATTACCTTCTAAAGACTTACTCTGTCCAAAGCTTAACCCATTGAAAACTTGAGACAACCTTCCATAAACATAAAAACATTTTCCATTCCACTGAAAGATGATTTGAAGTCAATAGTCTACTTCATCGAACATGATAAATTTGAGGAAGGAAGGTACTTTCTTGTATAAGTTTACGCTATACTAATAGATATGTCGAATCAGGGGACACATCCAATTGATTCGAAGATCAGCATGTCAAAGACACATGTATACTATTCCCCAAATGGTCTTGATAGAAGCAGGTTTATAAAAGTTTCCAAAATTTGTGTAAGTTTTGGATTTGATCCAGCCCTCATTTTTCAAAAGTTTGTTTAAGTTAGGGTTTAAATCCAGCACACACTTTCTTCTAAAGGAGAATACCTTATTCAAAGGATGAGATATCTTTAGCTGCCGAGTTCATGATAATTTGATGATTTGAAATCAGACTGATCTTTCTCGTCTTTTGATTTAGCTGGACATTGCGCGCACGCGCGCAACTTCAAGTTCACAAGAGAGCGAAGATCAGGTAAGGGTGAAATGACAATCCTTTAATGGAGAGCATTAATAACTGCGTCAAGTACACTTGATTTATAATGCGTGAATGGACATGCGCGTTGTGTTAGCTATTACAGTGAGAGGAGTAGATTTAGAGTGAATGGCTGGTCTAGCATGGTCTAGCATGGTCTAGCATGGTCAGCTAGCAGTTCAATACAACATAGAATTTTTGTCAAGTGGGGTTTATACCGAAAAAGTGACGTTCATCTGAAACGAAATAAAATGGGAGCATGGTACGTTGGAACCGTCACGATAACAATATCCTCTTTGAGTGATTGTAAATCTTCAATCGGGTTCGAATCCATAGCAAAGACAGTTTCAAAATCTGCCGTCAGTCTTAGCATTGTGAGATCTGTTTCTTGCAGCCATGAAACAGTTGAAAAATAGAGAAAGACTAAAGTACTTTTGTGCATATAATGCGGCTGAAGTATTGATCGGAGGTTTCTTATTCAACCTTTTTTGTCCATTAATCTATTTCAGCTCCGTATAAAGTTGAAGTCACCACAGGTGTGCAGGAAGGAGCGGGAACTGATGCAAATGTGTACTTAACTGTTTACGGTAGCAATGGAGAGACTTTGGAAAAGAAGCTGAGCAATACGTTTGAAAATAACTTTGAAAAAGGAAAGTATGTAAATCAATTATCAATCGATTGATCCCCAATTAATACACTATTTAATGAGATTTTATTCAATTACAAGTCAGATCCATTTCATCTCATTTAGTCAGTCAGTATTTTATTGTAATCTTTATGTAGACACGATCAATTCATCAGCCTATAAAAATACATATCACATACGCTAAGATATTTAAAATTAAAACTACATACTATAACACTAAAGCTGTTTTCCGTGAATGCCGTGCGTTAGACTTTAAAAATGTCATTGATCTTACGTTTAAATAACCCCAGAGACTCTGTGTTCCTTATATCGCGTGGTAAACTGTTCCATAATGTGGCGCCATTGTAGCTAAAGCTTTTTCTGTAATAATTAGTGCGCGGTAGTGGAACATTAAGCTTATTTTCAGAGTCCCTGAGGTCATAAGCAGAGTCACGCCACGTAAACTTTGAATATAGATACCTTGGAGCTAGCCCGTGCAGACATCTAAACATCATGGTGGCTTTATGGATTTCCTGCTGGCGTGCAAGGTTTTTCCACCCTAAAAACTCGAGTAGCTCAGTTGCATCAGCATCATAGTTAGAGAATGTCAACACACGGGCTGCTCTATTCTGCAATTTCTGCAGTTTGTCTCGTAGCGTTTTCCCACAGCTACCCCAAACAATGTCACAGTAATCAAAGTGAGGTTTTACTAAAGCTTGGTAGATGAGATGTAAGGTTGATGCTGGGATCAGGTGCCTAATTCGCTTTAGGGCCCCGATACCAGAGGCGATCTTTTTCGTTAGTTTTTCGATGTGACTATGCCAATCGAAATTACATAACAGTCAGAAATTACATAACGCAACCTATAAAACACTTTGAAACTCAGTCAGTCTTTCAGTCATTTAGTCATTCAGTCACTCGGTCAGTCAGTCAGTCAGTCAGTCAGTCAGTAAGTCGATCAGTCAGTCGATCAGTCCGCTAGCAGTCAGTCAGTCAGTCAGTCAGTCAGTTAGTTAGTTTCAGAGCGAATGACGAAGGGCTAACGCTCGAAACGTCAGCTTTTTAACTCTTTACATTGGCCAATTTGCAATTTCAACTTAATTACTGAATATTACCAAATTGCCTAGTTAGTCAATCAGTCCGTCAAGAACCATGATAGAGAAGCTCATAGGAGTTATTTTATATTTGTTGAAGCGATTTTAAAGTGAGTATCCACGAATGAAAGCTTTGAGGTTATAGTTAATGAAACTGTTGCAAATTATTTAACTTCTCTTGCCAGAGTCGACGATTTTCAACTGAATTTAATGGACATCGGTGAGATAAAGAAGATAAAAATAAGGCACGATAACTTTGGATTTATGCCAGCGTGGAACCTGAAAGGGGTAGGTTAAATGTTTATTGATAAGGGACCTTTTTTCCAAGTGGGGGCAACTAGGCACCAAAATAAGAGAAAATTTTTAAAATAGAAAAGAAAGAAAGAAATACAAAATTATTAAACCGTAAGATTAAATGAAATTAACCCTCGGACATAAGATACCATTTACACATCGAGTTCGTCAAGCAATGTGAAGACCTTTTGATAATAATAATAATAATAATAATTATAATTATAGTAACGATAATAATAATACTAACCATAATGATAATAATGATAATAATAGGGATCGAACCCAGGTCACAACGGTGGGAAGTTGTTGATCTCATCACTGCGCCTTCCTCTCGCTTACTCTTTTCCCAAACAATTCTTAATGGTCCTTGGTTTTCTTCCAAAAGGTCAAAATCACTGCTCCTCAGGGACAGGTATATGTATTCACATGTGACTGTGATTTGAAGCAAGGAGCTCTGTCAAAAGTATTGCTTCCTTCTGGAGAGGGATCGAGACAAGGTGGTAAGTACACACATTACTTTATTTGTTCACTTCAACATCACTTTGGTGCTTTCCCCATTTTCAATTTGTAGATTGATCCCCAGGTGTATCTACTATATATCTTACTCTTGTTACTAACTATCGTTACCGTCCTCTGCAGCTGTGGTTGGTGGTTTTAATGGAATTTTTAAGGACTCTTCTCACTGCTGGCCGTTTAATGAGGCTCAGGGCGACTCATCTCCTGATTTAGTAGGAAACTTTCCAGCTCAGCTGAAGGTATAACGGTAGATTAAAAGCTAATTGGAGGGTGGGATTTGAAGTTCAGCACCGTGCACATTTCGCTCGGTTATCGTGCAAACAAAACCATAGTAATTTCAAAAGCCAATTAGAGCAAAGGATCTTATCCCAGGGAGCCAATAAGAACTCTAAATGATAATATTCCCGCCAAAAAACCCGGGAAAACGTGAGTCACCGAGTCATGAGTTGCATTTGATTGACGGAGAGATTGACTGCGTCGAGTTTGAGGATTAATCGAAGAGGGAAGTAAAATAAAACCTTTGCAGTCTTAAATGACCACGACTTTAGAACAAAAAAATTATTGTTCTGCAGGCGCCGGAGAGGTACTTATTTATGATAACGATTTATGGCAGAGATCCTTTGTTATGTCAGAACTCAGAATCCAGTTTTCACTTCAGATGATTGTAACCTTGAATCTGTGTTCATAACATAAATTTTTCTAATTCCACAAATTTAGAATAATATATTTTAAACCTCTCAAAAGTTAGTCATGTGCTGTTCGTCACTTCAGTCTTATTCTATCCTTTCTCAGGATGAGGCTAGAATAGTAGATTCTGTGGCAAGGGGAAAGGTAGCCTCTACTCTTGAACAAAACAGTTGGATTGATCTGGGAAACTTTAAGGGTGAGGCTATTACCTACATGTAAATAATGCTAATCGTTGTTATAAAAGACTTCCATCTTTTTCAGTGTGCTTGATATTTGATTTCTTTATGCGATGAAAAACAAGAATTCTGTATGTGTTACCACCTCCTCCAAAAACCATGGCGGGTTTATGCAGCTTGTATTTAGCTCTTTGCATGTCTCAAAAACTATTTGCAGAGGTCTGGCATTGTAGGAAAAACTCTGAAAGTAAATTCTTTCTTTATTAATTAATTGAATACAAGATAGCGGCATGTGCAGAGATCCAGTCGAAAGTTCTATATTTGGACGTAAATTGATCATCACCTGATTGTGTCATTCATGATAGATAGATAGATAGATAGAAACTTTATTAACGTGTCAAAGAACCTAGTTTGGGAGATATCCCATACTAATGTGGGGACACAAAATGAATACCCTTTTGAATCGCATGATTGAATAACAACAAGAAAAAAAGGAAACAGTATTACTTATAGTTGTGTACATATCACTTAGCCTCGTTTTCAACTCGCAATTCCACGCTAAATACCTCGCTTCATTACTCAATCAGAATGCGAGATTTTATTCAATGATGCGATTCTAAATGATATTGTTTCATATCACTTGTTTCGCGTTCTGGTTAAAAAAAACCCCTGTTATTGCTATTTCACTTCAATTTCTCAGATATTCAAAGAGAAAATCCATTGCTTGACTCGGGAATTCCGCGTCAAATTGCACTTGAAAACCGACTTCGCACGAATCGAGGCGATAGCGGTTTTCAAGTGCAAATTAACGCAAGATTCCCCCGCTTTGTAATAAGTTTTCCCATAGAATATCTGAGAATTTGAAGTGTTCTTTTTTTTCTCTTTACCTGAAGACAATGAATAATAAGCACCAACCAGCTTTTGATACTTTACTTCAATCCTTAGCTTATACATTTTTATCTAAAAAATTCTTCCTTAAAGGAAGATGCATTAGTGACCCATCTCTGTGTGCTAATGGAGTAACCATGATTTTCTGGGCAAGAATCGAACCAGCAGCCCTCCTAAACAATCAACAGCTTCCGAAGTACGTATTATCCAGTGGGGGATCAGATCACAGATCCCGAGGATTTTCTTTTTTCCATCAGAACAATCAGTTTGTACTAAGAGTGTCAGCGGCTGAAAAGGAATGGAGAATTGAGATACCACAAGGACAAATACTGCTAAATTCTTGGTTTTCATTCGCATTTACCTGGAAAAGAGGTACCTTCCAAAAAATTACAACTACTCTAATATTTAGTTTGTGATTCTTCCTGTAACGAATTAAATAACTGTTTTACTAAATGGATCTCGTTCTGAAGTCTCCTTTTCATTTTCGTTTATTCCTTGTTTGGTGAAGATCTCTTTTTCTGTGGTTCTAAGATGGTGTTGCATGGATCATTACTAACCTTGAAATTCAATAAAACTGACCACGATGCAAGTCATTATCATCGATATCAAAAGTAAATTAGAAGACATTCGGAATACGGGCCAAATTGAAACCACTGTATTCTTGAAACGAATATAAAATACTTCCTGCTTGTTCTTAGCGTGCTGAGTACATTCAACAAATTTCTGCTTTAAATATTTTTCACGTAGAGGAGGGACTAAAGTATTACATCAACGGGAAAGAGGCTGGTATAAAACAGATGAGTGAAAGCTTTGGTCAGATAAGAGGAGACGAATTCAACGACTTTAGGATAAGCAAACCCAACCATAACAATCTAGTGCAGGAGATGTTACCTATGAAGTTTGACCAGTTTGCTACTTGGAACAGAATTTTGCCACCAGAGGAGATTAACCAGGCCTTTAACCAGGGTATGAAGGGCTCACCCGACATTTCTTCAAAAACCTTTGAGTTATATTTCGATCATAAAGTGATACTTTCCTACATGATCCTACTTCAGAGTCTCCTCATGTTTTCATGTTCTCCGGCCACATGATAGTTTACACGTATTAAATATTGTTTGAGTGGATTGGTTGAGTGGTGCAATACACCTCACTGGAGTACAACTTGGTTTAGTTCCGTTTAGCAAATCCTGAAGCATTTACAATGTACAACTAGAAGATGGGAAAACATCGATTGGATCCAGTGAGAAATCATAGTGAATCGAGCAAATTGCTGAGGGAAAGGGAAGTATTGCAAAGTGGTGATCGAATCGAGTTTTGGTTTTATGTTCATTTTTTGTTGATTGAAAGTGTGCCAAAGGTTGTGTGATACCAATGCAAACACAATGCGAAACTAAAATACTTTAGACAATCTGTAAGTAGAGAGGAACTGCCCTAAAAAAGCCCAGGGTGAAGCAAACAATGGTTAACGCCTTGAACTTATTAGCAACACCTCACTCTCATTTGATTGATAGGTGGTGGACTACCTGAAAAAGAAGGACAAGCCAACCCTCAAGGTTAGTGGTACATTCCTTTAACTGTAATGAATGTACTTGCTGATCGTGTTCTGTCATCGTCTGAGCATAGTTAATCGAGGGGACTGGTTATGAAAGCCGGCGAACTTCAAAGGGATAGCTTATTGTTTTGGTTTTTCGAGTTCAACCTAGCGTGACCGTGCATCACATAGATTCAAGATGGCGTCTCACATGTGGGTGTTTGTACTTATGACTGCACGTTTTACGTCTGTAATATTACTATTCCTTCTTAAATACTGCTTGTATGTATCTATAAATGAAGAAGGAATGCCCGGAGATAACTGCTCTGTTTTTGGTTGCGGCTCGTCCCGCAAAACGAAAGGAATCGGCATCTGGAAACTTCCTGCCCCTCGCAATGCTGAATACAAGAAATGGCGAGAACTTTGGCTAAACGAATTGACCAAAACACGCGTTGTAGACAAAGATTTCAAGCGCCAGATCGACAATGATCGTGTCTTTACGTGCGAAAACCATTTTAGGCCCGAGGATATTGAGATTTGTAAGTATTAAATGCAATCTTATAAGTTTAACTACACGCGATCCTAGACATAATCTGCGCGGTGCTTAGGTGCATAGCTTATCAATTAACTTGAGCTTTGATAAACTTCAAACGTTATATTCTGATTCTGTTTGTTTGTGATTGTTTCTACTCTAGTTCAATCTGAAAAGATGCAGAAAAAGAAACCGAAGTTTGGTGCCTTGCCAACAGTAAACATGCCGAAGCGTAGCTTCACAACACCAGTAAATGTGCGTCCACCTCGAAGCGCAGTCAACGAAATCCCAGAAGTGGCCCCTAAAAAATGCTACAGTGACTTTAAAGATCTAGTAAAACGAGTGAAATCTTTGAAAATTCTAAGTGAGTGGATCTTAGAGGCAGCAATCGATCGAATTGTATTGACAAAGAAGAGTTCTCTGCTTGTGTTACCAAAGATTCAGCTCACCATCGATGATAGTCTTGGTTTTTCTGTGTCTGTGTTTGGATGGTTTCTGCCAGATGATCATGCGATTCATCTTGAAACCTTGCGATCCGTTATGAACATCACAGTCTCTGAACTTATCAAGAGAATTGATGTTCTCTTGATTTGCCCTGGAGTGAGACCATTTGAACTGTCATCCGATATCGTACACCACATTATACCGAAGTCAGTGGATCCGTTATTCAGAGATGATTCTGAGATATTCCCACAGCTGGAATATTGGAGAACACGGGACTGTGAAGTTTTGGTGGAGCATGGTGAGCAGTGCTGTGTTTGCTACAAATACTCTCACAAGTCAGAGGTGGATCAGAAAGCAAAGCAAAGAAAGCTTGCAAAGCCTGCTCATTTGTTTGCTCCAGTCTCTCACACAACACCAGAGAGAATAAAGCTAACCCTAAAAACACAGAGGCTTAAGTGTGCAGAACTAGAACGAAAGCTTGAAGAAATGAAATCAGAGATAGAAAAGTCAAGTGTAGAAGTAGACAACCAGTTAAGCAATGACATTACAAGTATATTGGGGACATCCAATGAAAATATCACTCCATTCATGGATCTGTTCTGGCAGCAGCAAAAGAAATTGATGACAAAGAGTAAAACTGGTGTCCGATACCATCCTATGATCATTCGATACTGCTTGTCACTTGCTACCAAGTCCCCAGCATGCTATGAAGAGCTCAGGAAAAGTAACATCCTTGTACTGCCGAGCCAACGCACATTGAAGGACTATAGAAATTGTATACGACCCAAAGCTGGCATTCAAGAGGAAGTACTTGAGGAGTTGAATGTTCTTACAAACAGCTACTTCGATGTGCAACGATACATTGTGCTCCTTTTTGACGAAATGAAAATTTTGTCAAATCTGGTATTTGACAAAGTATCTGGGGAACTAACTGGTTTCCTTGACCTGGGAGATCCTGATATAAACTTTGGAACACTTGAAAAAGCTGACAAGATTGCAAGCCATGCTATGGTCTTTTATATCAGAGGTCTCTGTACTGAGTTGAAGTTCAGCTTAGCCTATTTTGCCACCGATGGGATTACATCTTATCAGCTTATGCCATTGTTTTGGCAAGCAGTATGTGTGCTTGAGTTAGCTTGTAATCTTTGGGTGATTGCAAGTACATCAGATGGAGCGTCACCCAACCGAGCATTGTACAGAATGCACAAAGCTCTTGATGGTAATGCTGGAACTGATGTGTGCTATCGCACTGTGAACCTCTATGCACCCGACAGGTTCATATATTTTTGTTCTGATGCTCCCCATCTCATTAAGACTACAAGAAATTGTGTCTACAGCTCTGGTCATGGTACATGTACTCGGTAAGTCGATATATTTGAAACTATTATTGTAGAGATATAATTTCACAGAATAAAATTTGCACTTTCAATGCATCCATGTTAGAAATTGTATGATTTATTCATATAATTGACAACAGAGTCAAACATTTCCCTTGCTTTTAGTAAGAGGTGAAATAATATAGTCAAGCTAGAATTATTGGTATTTTGACTAGATAACATTAGCTAACATGGTTACTATGGTTACAAACAATAAGATTTTTACGTAAGGAGGGGGGTTGTGATTGGGAACTCCCTTGAAAACTTGGGTGGATTTACATTTCCTTAGTTATTCAAAACAACATTACATTTACAGAATTCATATAATGATTTAGGTGTAAACTACGATAAGGAAGTAGTTTGATTTAGTGATTGATAGTAATAACCAATGTCTTATTCTGTAGGTACATGTGGAATGATGGCCACTATATCCTCTGGCAGCATTTTATCCAGCTGTTTCATCAAGACCTTGACAATGGCCTAAAGCTGCTTCCTCGGTTAACTTATGACCATATTAAGCTCAGTGCTTACTCTACAATGAGAGTCAACCTTGCTGTCCAGATCCTCAGTGCTTCAGTGGCAAATGTTCTTAAGTCATTTGGTCCTCCCGACACCATCGCCACATCTAAATTGTGCGAAATGATGGACAACTTCTTTGATTGTCTGAATGTTCGCAACCAACATGAGCATGTGCGTAAAAGAAAGCCATTTCTCAAGCCATATTCATCAGTGAATGATCAACGGTTTGCCTGGTTAACCAATGATTTCCTTGGTTATTTGAGAAATTGGAGAGAGAGTGTGGCCAATCGTCCTGGTGAGTACACCAACAATGCAAGGAGCAAGATGTTTCTCTCTTGGCAAACCTACGAAGGCTTGAAAATCACAGTTCATTCAGTTGTAGAGGCTACAAAGTTTCTACTTAATGAAGGGATGGAATATGTGCTCACTGAGCGCTTTTGCCAAGATCCCCTTGAGGAGTATTTTGGGAACCAGAGGAAGCTTGGTAGGAGAAGTGACAACCCAGATATGCGTCAATTTGGTTACAACAATAACACCATCAGAGTGCAACGCGCTGTCACCTGTCAGTCTGGTAATACCCGAGGCAGGAAAGACAAAAACAAGGCATGGGTTAATGTCTCAGATGACCCTGTCCCAAAAAGGAAGAAAACTAAATAATGCTGACATTGCTGATTATTATAACCTGTGTATCTCCAAATGAGTGTGTATCTAACTTAAAACATAGCTTAAAACTTAGGAAAATATAAAAAGTATCAATTTCTTGTTTTGTATCATAGGGTTATTCATAAATATATAGTGAGTGATCTTGTAATTTTAAAATAATACATTAGAGTGAGCATACTTATTCTGTGAGGATTTTGGATTAATAGTTATCTTAGAGACTAATCCCTTGTTTTGATTATCCCCTAAAAATATTTTCTTTCATTGTTCAAGTGTGCTCACTCTATCAGGTTTTTTGTAAATTTGTAAATAGCATTATATCATAACACTGTTTTATTTGGTGTTTCATAAATCAATAGGATTAATTGTTCCCATTTATTGTTGGGAAAGGTTTCTTACTTATCTGTAAACAGTCTGATATATTCCATATCATTTTCATATCAATGTATTCAACTCACAAACATCATTGGTTTTAACAATTGTGCTTTAATAATTTAATATAAGTTTTAATAATATAATACATAAGGACTGACTTTCAAACATTTGCCTCCTTTGTATTTCTACTTGAATATTTGTAGCATAATTCCTGAAATACATATTCTAGGCACAGCGTCAGTCAAACTTATTATGATATTTTTTAAATAAAACAGGAACATTAAATTTACAGAAAAGTCTATTTGTTTTGGGAATTTAAAGAATATTACAGTAATTAGTCTGTTGATGACCTATTGATGTCCTTGCGAAGAGCTTTTGATTTCAGTTGTTTCAATCTAATTTTGTGTTTTTGAATAACGTCCTTCACAAATGAAAAAGAACGAACTCTAACATACAAACTAATAATATTGTGGAGAACATCTTTGGCAACATGGCTACTAATCTCAACTTCAGAGTCGGCTAACATGGCAGAGTGAGATGCGACAACAGTTACATCATGCATTGATCTTGAAATAATATTAGCTAAAGGAATGTTTTTCAGACTGGTTTTACGTGTAGCTTCCCTGAAATAGTGTTCAGTTCTTTCAAAAACAGACTGAGCATTTCTTGTGATCTTCCACAGTCCACCTCGATTCAATGTTGTAGTCAATCTCTGATCTTCACCAATAGGATTGTCCCATTTCCCAGCCATTATCAGTGAGATTGCGTGGTCATTTTCTAGTGTTTTACTTGCTTGTTTGTGCTTGTTATGTAGCTTATGTAGTACATAACCTCCAATATACTGTAACCCTGACTTCTCTTTATCAGATAATTTCGTCAATGGTTCACATGTGTGAGTTTCTGCTTTTTCTTTGCTATGTGTTAAAAGGCAGTCGGCCACTTTTGAACAAAGTAATGTAGCAGAGTTTCTTGATAATCCTACAAAATGGCTCGAAGCATGCAAGACTATGCTAGCGTAAAAGGCTGCATAAAACCTCTCTGCATTTCCAGACTTTGCCAATTGAATATAAAGCCCCTGAATTTCAGAAAATTTAGGTGTTGAAGATTGTAGAGTGTTGCAGTTGTAGGACCATATCTCGTCTCTGTTTACCTTTGGATAAATTTTGCTGTCTCTAAGTTTCACTTTAGCATTGCCAACGATGCTTGCATACGTTTCCACAGTTAATAGATCTCGATTTTCTGGTTTGTCTGTCTCAGTTTCTTCTGTTTCTTCTGTTTTATCTTTGTGTTTAACAGTGATGTGACGTTTCAGTCCGCTCTTACTCTTGCATTTCTTTGGACAATGAGGGCAAGTGACGCTCAGTGGGTGAACCTGCAAAACCAAATTCACGATCAACATCACACACTACTTAGGTTCATAAATCATCTTTAAATCAACAGCTGATAAAATAACGTTTAGGCAAGAAATGGTTTATAAATAGAGCCCGAAATAAGAGTGATTGATCGAAAGCATGATGTCGAAAGCTAGTCTGTTCGACCTTCATGTTCAATCTTCCTTTTTGACGTTTTTAGGCTATATTTTAACTATTAAAACAGATTCTATAGCTTACATCAGCAGCTGCTTCTCTGAAGTGCTCATCAAGGTCTTCTTCTTCTTCTAAAACTCCTAAAATTGCCTCTAAATCGTCTCCAAAGAAGAACATGTCATCACACGCGTCCGCCATGTTGTTTTTAGATGCACGGTCAATGTCACGTGACGGTGCATCTCAACCTCAAAACCCAAACAATAGGCCGGTCCTTTGAAGTTCGCCGGCTTTCATAACCAGTCCCCTCGATTAACTATGGTCTGAGTGAGAGTTTTACAGGGGAGCACTGTTGCATACACAGTGCGTGATGTTTTAACCTAGTGATCGGGAACAAAGTTTAAATCTTGAATTCTGATAGTTACGTCCTGTTTAAAACTTTTCACCGTTCTTTAATTGAAATAAATGTGATTCTCTGGTCTTTCAAATAGGTGAATGAGAAATACTGTTTTTAAGAGAAAATATGTTCTTTTATCACGTGGCATTTAGCTTGTAAGCCGAACCCTTGCCAGAATGGAGGAACGTGCAAGACCGATGCTGACTCTCCTCAAGGCTATCGCTGCATTTGTACTCCACAATACGCAGGAGTTAAGTGCGAAAGTAAGATTAATAACTTATACCGATTAAAATGTTAAATTTTCCACCGAACTGCACAAGTTGTTCCTCTGTCAATTAGATTTATGCCGATATCTAGATCACTTTTTGTTGATCAATTTCAAAAATTCTCTTTTACTCTTTATTGAAACAGTCAAGGAGGATCAAAAGCCACCGACGATTCAGGGTAGGAACTAAAAAGAATCATTTTAACAATAATAACAATAATTATAATGATAATAATTATCATACTAAATAATGATTATAATAGTAGAACATTTTTAAATGACCATGAAATTTCGGTACATTTCGGTGCAGTGTTATGACCATTACATTTCATTTGATCTGTCAGGCTTTTAAAGTAGACCAGAATGTACAGAGAAAGAAGAAAAGAATCTCTAGCATTAGAGTCTCGCAAAATTTCATTGTAAACTAAGGGCTCTCGTATCATCAATATCCTCCTGAAACCGTTTTGACTTTATCGATGTCGCTGGCAACCGCTTCCTTGGACCTAATGTTTATCACTGTTTTTCAGTGCTTTTGTTTTGCTGGTTACCCTCGAGTTCATTAGGTACAAAGCCTCGGGTTTCAAAAATTGGGTATGTTCCTCTTCATCAAAGCAAAGTAAAGGTCGATTAACCGACTTTGCCATCAATCGCAGCAGGTACCACTACTGCATCTAGCACTGGTACTGCTTCTAGCGGGACGTCTTCCACTGTACGCCCTACCAGTAGTACTTCTACCGTTGGATCATCTGGAGGAACCACCCGTAAGGCAGGCACCTCTGGAAAACCTACAAGCAGTTCTTCTACTGGTGGCGTTTCTCTCACCAAATCATCTGCGGGAAGCACTCGGAAAGCAGGCACCCAAAGAAAACCTACAAGCCCTTTTTCTACCAGTGGTACTGCTAGCACTGGAACATCGGGGGGAACCACACGCAAAGCAGGCAGCACTGCCAAACCTACAAGCGGTACATCTACCAGTGGCACTTCTACCACCGGAGCATCAGGGAGAACTACCCGCAAAGCTGGCAGCACTGCAAAATCTACAAGTGGTACGTCTTCCAGTGGTACTTCTAACACTGGAGCAACCACTACCGCAACACCCACCATTTCATCCGCTACCCCAACAGGTACCACAGGCCCATCTGCTGGAAGTGGATCTACAACAGGTAAACCAACTTCATCTTCCACGTCTAAGGCTTCATCTGGTGCCACAGGCACACCATCTGGAACTGCACCGACTACAGGTAAACTAATCATGGATTTTCGTCGTTCAGCGTCTCTCAGAACAAACAAAGGAAATCTAACCGACTGCAGCGACGACGACGACGCAACAAACGTCTTGTATTCTATCGACTGGACTGCGGACTTGACTACAATCTTCCCACAAGAACCTGAATCAAGGAAAAGACGCGAGAAATTTTATGGACTACGTTTTGAATAAGTCAAACATGTGATTTACAGGATTGTGTTTGACAGTTTTAACCCTTTAATTTCCATGACTGACCAAGACAGAATTTCTCCTTACAACATCAATAGAAAATTCTCTAAAAATAAGCTTAAGAATTGTGTGGCGAATTGATAATGAGATCACGAGAATAAAGAGGTTAATCAGGTATGAGATATGGCGGAAACCTAAGAGGTGAGACCGACCTCTCTCTTTGACGCAAAGAGTATATTTTAGTGTATTATATTATTAGTTGCACTCAACATAAGCTTTATATCATTAACTGCAGTAAGCTCTGCTGTCTTCTGATTCATTTCCGTCGTAAGCAAAGAAACAGGTTGGCGTTATTATTTTTCGCAGTTACTTTTAAATTACTTGAATTAACTATATCAAATTCGTAATTCATAGATTTTACAATAATATTTCTGATGCTTTTTGTTTCATACTATGCAAAGACATTACAACAGCCCGTCCAACAACAGCTCGTCCAACGACAGCTCCTGCAACAACAGCTCCTCCAACAACAGCTTCTCCGACTGGAACACAAAGTCCACCACCAGATATAGGTAAATAGTTTAGTCATATCCTCGTTTCACCAATAAACAGAGGTTACTCAATCATCAAAGTCATTTCGTTGCTCATGGGTGGTCCCCATGGGCACTATTTCAGCTTCCCAGCTCAGGTTCAATGATTAGCTATATCATCTTTACAGATAATTTAAATAATTGCTGTAAGTATGCCGTTATTTATCTCTGAATCCTGGAAGTTTATATATATTTCTAGCGCTGCACATTCAGATGATTAACTGTTTTTGGTTTTGTGACACCGGAGGAATTAGAATTTTTCCTTATTACTTAATCTATCTAGTGATTGTTTTATGCTGACTTTTGGTAATCAGTAACAATAAGCCAATGACAGATTTAAATGATCTCACAAGCGCAACTTTAGCAATGTGAATTAATTTCAGAGCAACTAGAAAAGGATGTAGAGAAGCTTGTCAACGTCTTCCGAAATCTCCACCAAGCCTCAGATGTGTCTGATACTCAGGAACTGAACCAACTAGCTCGCGAATGGGCGGGAAATCTCGCAGCTACTGGCGAAGAAAAGATTGATCCTGACTCGGAATTTGGACAACTAGTGTGCAGTCATCATGCAGAAGGTGATATTGCTAAGGCATGCGCGGTCAAGTGGTATAGTGCCATCAGGTTCTTTGACTGGGCGGATCCTAAGCTGACTGTAAAGACGTCTCCATTTACACAGCTAGTATGGCAAAGTACCACGAGCATTGGAGTTGGTATCGCTAAAGCTAAGGATAATGTTAAGAGAGTGGATGTCCCAGGCAAATATTTTATCGCGGTGTTTTTAAGTCCTGCACAGAGTGATGACAAGGTTAAAGAAAACGTTCTTCCTGCGGCTGGTAGGTTATAGACACGTTTTAAGATTTGCTTGTTATGGATTCGCGTTTCATTATCCGATATATCGTTAACCAGAAGAGGTCGAAGTACTAAATATATACACTGAATACTTACTGAAATACCTAACTATTACGTTTAGAGGCTATTGTGTTTCATCGCTTAATCAGTCAAGCTGAATTTCCTCCTCAAGGAAGGAATGAAAAAAAAAAATTTTAAAATAACAGATTTGTCTATAATGCTCGGTCTTAAGCAGAAGCATGTCTGGAATACATTCTGAACATATCGTCGATAGCAATCTGCAACCTCACGATCTCTCTTGTTTGCGTTTCCCTAGGAATCTCTACACCTTCACCAAATGGTAAGTATACGCGAAGGTAAATAAAAAAATGTTTTTGGCAAGTATTGTCAGCCCGTCAATTTTACTTGAGGATTACAACACAACATGTTTTGGTAGTATTACATCATAACCACATAATCTGATAGAATGTTCTAAAAAGTTCCATGGTGTTCGTGTAAGTATGTCAACATGACTAGGCATTCTAGAATTTTCTAGAAACTTATTCTTACGGTTATTATCCATAACACCATTCCCACCTATTTGACTACTTACCATCCTACCTAACCTTCTAACTACTGACATATCAACCCATTCCTCTACCGATCTGAATCCCTGCCCTCTTACTTACCAAGTAATATTGGTACCTACTCACTTATGTACCGAACCATTTTCTTCTCCTAGTGACAAATTAATCTACCTACCTTTTGTTTGTTTACTTGTTTTTTTTTTTTTTGCTTGGTTAGCCCTTGATGTGATGCCCTAATCTGTTTATCTTTCTAATTCTTCATTTCTCAAGCTGCTTGTCCAGAGGGATACTTTAAAATACCCATGGGCGTTACACGATCATGTTTCACTGTCCGTAACACACCAGTGACCTGGGATGACGCTCTACTCGGTTGTGCCCTTGATAACGGTACGCTGGCTTCACTTGAGAGCAGAGAGGAAGCTGACCTGATTGTTAGCTTAATTGCGAGTAAGAGAACATCCTGCTATGTTTCAAAATCCGGATTAGCGCTTCGCCTAAAATACGCACCCTTTTGAAGAAATGCTCCTCCCATCAACCAAAATCTAAGATAAACAATCTCCCCGACTCGAGTCGGGTGTCTCCTCCCTCCTCAAATTTTTATGGACGAGAACTTAGAACTCAATAAAGGATAGGTAATCCAAACGATTAAGATCTTTGAGTTCCCCGTTCACGGTGAAAAGTGATACTTATGATACTACGCTGTAATGAAGAGGAAATGCAATACTTTACATCGTAGCAATGATAGTAAGAAAATGTTCCACAAAGTCACTGGCTTTTGAGCTATTATTAAACCATGTGTAGTTCAATGCCAACAAGGTAACGCCTTTTACTAGTGAATACTGGTCCATTCAAAGCGCTAGTTGGAGAATGACAACTTAACAAATGTTCACCGTTTCTTTGCACGATTTTAAAAAGAAGCCAACCTAACGGAAGCTTGGATCGGACTCCATGATCGTGCAACCGAGGGCCGTTACGTTTGGGTCTCAGGATCTCAAATTCCATTCTCCGAGTGGCTACCAGGTGAGCCTGATGGAGAGGAAGGACAGAGCTGTATCGTGCAAGCCAAAGGGGAATACGGATCTGGATGGGCCGACCGACAATGTTCCGACAGAAAGGCTTTTGTCTGTGAGGTACCCGCGCCTGGTAAGAAATAATGATGATACAAAGCTAGAAGCTTATCTTTGAGCCACTCTCTTATCAAAGACCAATGCGTAGTTTTGGGTGTAAAGCTTTGAGTAACATGGTACCGACGGCACTTTATGCTTAGACCTTCATGTCCAAAAAACGCTGAGAAGTTTTCGTTGAACGTAGAATTGTTACGCAATAACTATGGGACCTGTTAAGTCTCTGGGTACACCAATTAGAAGATCACGACTCACAACAACCTTAAACCACTATTCGCCTCACTAAAATACGTTTAACAAAGTAAGTATGTCTTATTAGACGTTTTGTTGTGTAGTATCGCTGAGTATTTTTACGAGTTGTGCCGTATTTTGACGAGCCCGCAGGGCGAGTCAAAATACAAATAACGAGTAAAAATACTCAGCGATACTACACAAAAAAACGTCTAATAAGTTATTTATTATCCAACACGCCAAACTGTTATTTCAGTGCGGGCGAATTTCGCGAATGTTTATTTACGGGGAGTGCGTGACAGAAGTATGCGAAGCGGAACGGAATTGGCGCGTTGTTGTGCTGCTGTTTCTATTTTCTTCAGAAGAAATTTTCTGGTCGTTAAGCTGTTTTTCTTGGTTCGATTCATCTAGTGAATTGGGATCTATATTTGCCAGTCATTCTGACTCTTCGTCGTCGGAAATATGATTCAAATTGTCCGCCATTTGTTTTTTTTTTCGTAACTACAATCCAATTCTTCGCTTGCGCGATGCGAGAAAACCTGTTTAACCGGTACTACAATAGACGAGTACAAATACCGCGTGATATTTGTACTCGTCTATGCCGTTATTTGTACTCGTCTAGGTGTAGTTGGATAATAAACACTAATATTCAACATACAGTCGCGAAAATTATGCCGATCAATTCCCACAACGAAGCCTTGCTTAAAGATACAACACCACAAGACTTACCACAGAATGGGCGACCGTGCATGCGTTTGCACAAGTAACAACATAAAAAAACACACTTATCATGATATAAGGATGATATCAACGACAGGTCTTTTATTAATAGGATAAGTATTACTGATTGATTGATTGATTGATTGACTATTTCCACTTCTCTTATCATTAACTTCTCAATGCAGGTCATACCTTTTACAAGTTCACGTTTAACCTGACAGAACCACAAAGCCAGTCGTCCCAGTACCCCTCGTATTCTCAATATTCTCAGTCCTATTATCCCGGATCATATTACCCAACCACGTGCGCGCCTGTCGTTCAGAATGTGAATGACATTCTCAGGGATACGGTAAGCTACTGTTAGTGTTAATACTTTGCGAAAAAGTAGAATGAGGCGGTTAGGACTTGATATTAAAGTTTTAAGGGAAAAATTTCAGCCGGGGACGATGATATAAAATAACTGTGACAACCAAAAATGAAAGACTAAGTTTTATGCTTTTAGAAAACGTTTTAGAGAATAGAAGATCGTGACCGATCTGTACTTATGCTCAAACTGATAACAAACAAAATCACTTTCTCTGACTCGTAAGGTCATAAAGCCACACCATCGCATTGTTTATAATTTATTCATTATCTGGAGGAGATGCTTTAGCTGGCTGTATAATGCTCAATATATAAAGTAGAGAGTAAATAGAAATAGTAAAATCAACAACGAATCAAAGTTTCAGTAACTCGTAGTTTCATGCTTTCGCAATCATCAGACGGTGGTTATTCCAATGAAAGACATACCTTATATACAGAATGCTAATTATGCGGTGTGAAATCTATAATCAGGCGATGTGAAACTTAGTTCCTATAATTAGCGATTCTACTGAAAGTGAATGAAAGTTAATAAAACCGCTAAGAGTGATTAGCATCTAATTTCTCTTTAAAATATCACTCCTAAATCTTACATTAAGGTTCTGAGAAGAAAGGAATAGATCACCAACCAAAGAAGCTCTTGATTATCAAACAATTTATCCTAGTTAGCACCTTAGGAAATGTGTAGAGAACAGTATGGAGAATATGTATACTGATGTTAGGTTGTAAAAGGGTTAACCATAGATAATATATAAAATGATGCTTGGTGCCATTTTTACAAGAGGAATTTTGAAGGCAGATAATTAGAATTTAGAAGGAAAAAACTTGGTTTTTTTATTTAATTTTAGAGGACTCTTTTCTCAATTTCAATGTGAAAACAGTTAAGAAAGTTGAGATATCGTACTCATTACCAGCCGAATAAGCGAAGGGACTGATGAGAGACGAATTTCAATCACATTTTTCCTTGTCTTACCACTTGGAGGTTTAAGTGCAAGTCTCAAAATCAGATTATGTAAGCTTACTAAAACTCATTCCTGTGTGTTGATTTATTAACTCTTGGACAGATCGCTCGTTACTTCCAAGCAAAGAACCTTTCAGTCCAGCCAATTGTAAACACAATCAGGTAAATGGTCAATCTACTGACTGAATAATTGGTTTATTGTTGTTTTTTTTTATATATATATAAATTAACAGTTGTCTTTTCTTCCTTTTTATTTAGGTGCTTGCCAGATGGCAAATCAATTGTTGAGGTTATCTTGAGGCTTGGTCCAGAGGCAAGTCCTGATGCGATTGATTCACTCAAGACCAGCATTCATGAGAATGATGGAGAACTGGAACTCCAAAATGGAGCATCTGCTAAACTTATCAATGTAACGGTTCTCCTGCCAGGTAAGCAGACCATTAAGTTCTATGCACGTGGGAGACAAACGTTTATCCTAGTTGGAATGTGGTTGTAAAGAATGAATAAAATATGGCGCAGGGCGAAGCAGTTGTGGGCATACCAAAACTGCTTGATACCTAAGGAATGATGACTCGGGAAAATGAAGCACAGCGCGCAATTGTCTTCCTCGATCGACTTAACCAAACTACATCTAAACTAGCCTTTAACTTAATATTTGTATTACAGTTTTCACTCGGTTTAGGAGTATTATCATTGCATTAGGCCCATGAAACATTCCTAAGCCTTTAAGGTTTAGAGCCACTTCACGAAAATCATTTGTAATAACCCGAGAGACATACAAGAGACAAGGATAAGAAAACTAAACCGTTTACTCAGAGATATCTACTTGTTAATGATCACTACGAATATTTAAGTAGTCGAACTACAGGTCCCTGCAATGTAACACATCTTATTGTAACATCATGAACGGAAAAAAAATTGCTCAGAAAGTAGATGAGAAGAAGTTTAATTTTCGCTGCTTGCCTGTTTGCTGTAAATTGCATGCTTAATTTCGTCACAAAAACAGCAGACATCCCACGGTAGGCTCCACCTCCTTAATTCTTACCATTTGCTGCATTAACAGGGATCTCTCCATCAAATGTGACCTCAAATCAGACCTCATAAAATGTTTGTTCATTTGTACCATAGGCGCGTCACTTTGCCCAAACCAGTGCATGAGCAGCACTTGTCAGCCAGGTTGTGACCCGACTTGCTGCGCCCAGGCTCCAGCTCCAGCAGCAGCAGCAGCAGTGGGAGTAGCAGCAGGAGCAGCAGCCGTACCGTATCCATCACCAGCGTCTTACCAACCTGAACCAGTCTACCCCCAAAATAACCCGTGGCAGTGTCCAATTGCCTGCACCAATAATGTCAACTACTGCCCACCTTACTGCTCGCCACGTTGTTGTAATAAAAGACGATCGCGAGTGAGGATACACAAGTTTTAACCCCTTTAACTCCTTTTTCCGGTGTTAAACATTATTTTTAGCTTTTAAAGGTTTTATTCTAAAATAGCTCTTGACCCTACTGTGGCTTGTTATGAATGGTTTGATGACTGAATGAGGATATCTAGCGTAGTTGAGATTGCTTTTTCTGCAAAATACACCTAAATAAAAAAGATAAAGTAGAGCTGAGTTAGTTTCGATAATAGTATTAAATGTACATTAGTCAGGATTTAACGATAAGGCAAGCAAAATTGGTAGGGTCCTCCTTGGCACAGACAAGTATTTAATACGCTTTCCAGTTTAACGTGCCGATTTATATAATTTAAAGAGGACGATAAAAACGATGAATTACGAAAACAGTAATAGTTATAAGAAGGAATACGTTTTGAGACTCTAGCATCAGCGATTGATGTCTGTTGGATATTTACACTTGTTTATAAGGTTAAAATAAAGAAGCTTGCGCTTATAAATTGTATCTTGATTTGTTAAAAAGAATAGTCACAAGATTGTAAATACAGCACACTCGAAACCACACTATGTGAACTGAAAACCGCAAACATTTTCTTCGCATCCGATACTGAAAACCCGGAACTTCCTCTCAGAAGCAGTGTGTATTTAAGCAAACATAAAGTATCTCTGATATTCCTTGAAGATTTATTATGAAATCAGTGACGGATGGCTTGTACGTGGTTTAATTAAATACACTTTCCACTTTGTCTAAAGGAAAACGTTTGCTCTTCAACGTCTCGTTGTAAGATTCCAGCTAACTTGCAAAGACCTGTGAAAAATTTGGCAAAGATAAAAGATTTTCTGAGGGTTACTGAGATTTTAGAATCACTGAAGAGGCTCGTTTTTCTGGGGACCAAATTTCAACTGCTTCAAATTTCCAATGCATGGTGGTTTTCTCTGTGGAGAAATAAACACAGTTAAGCTCTACAATTCTTATTTAAAACAATCATATTTCGTGATCGTACAAGTCGAAAACGCGTGGTTTAATTTATATTTGCCACGTGGGTTATTCAGATTTAGTAAAAACCTGCCATCAGGTTGAATGACTTATAGAAGCCAATATTACTATTTTCCATAAATTACAATTATTTTCAGGCCCAGAGTTCCGGTTTCTACTCGTAGATAAAACCGCGCCTTTCGTTGACTTTTCGTTTTGAAAATCTTCCCTTGACATCCCTTTGTTATTCGAATGAATTCATGCGAACTCTTTGTACTTTTGGAGCAGGTGTTTTGGACACGCATGTTTCCCTTTCGTTCTATTTCTTGTCGCCTTGTCGTCATTTTTCGCATCTCTCGTATTCTTAGAGTTTAAATCGCCTTGAACAGTTTCCAGCTCTGTCTTCAAACGTTCCATACGAGATCTAAGTTCATCGACTTGCGTCTTGAAATCCGATTTCACAACTCTAATTCTCGACTCTAGACTGGTTAACCTTTCCTGAATCTGTGTGGTAGTGTTAAAACATTTCAATGGCCTTCCTTGACCCACATCCCGTATCTTTCTAGTGTCATCTTTGCTTGAGTCCATTCTTGTTTCGTTTACCATTGCCAAGTAGAAATTGATACCATTTACAAATATACAAATAAGTCAGGGTAAAATGTTGCCGTGGAGCGCTATAGGAAAAAATGCAAATGAGCTTGCTTTGAGGTTACCAACAAATGATGAGCCTCGTTGTTATGTGGTGGCTCTAAAGAAATGTGACTGAATTGATAATTCATTTATACGGGAAATTCAAATATATAGTTCAGGGAGAGTGTCGAGGCAAATTTTATTTCTTAAATCATTACCCCCAATATTAAGTTTCTAAGACCCGTTCATATCATCTAGAAATCCGACATGACCAAGAAGTCATCATAAAAGAAGTTCCTTTTTTGCTGAAAAACAAATCTCTCAACCTGGAAAAATCACGCAAGTAGATAATGAGAAACCAGCATCAGAAAGTAAACATCTTTTTTGCCCTAATTTATGCAGATATAACGGCGATGATTTCAGTTGGGACCAGTTATCGTTGAACCATGAATTGAGTAATTTTTCGCATGATTATTTCAAACTCTTCACTATTTACCATGAGAGGTGCTGTAGCAGTGATATTTCTTTCCTGCGTCATTCTTACGCTTCTGGGTAAGTAGCATAGGCGTTTTAATCTATGTGTCGCTTTCCCGAGAAAGTCCATGTCAAGCCACAGTAAGACTGATATTCTTACCCCTGTATCACATCTTCTCGTAAAAAAATAGATGTAAAAACAGAATGGGGCTTGGGTTTGCCTCGGATGTTACCATGATTTTAAGACTGAAAGTAAAGTTGCTGAAAGACGTCCAATTCTTCAGTGTTGCCCCAACATCTACTTTTCTGATTCTACTGTTAAATTACACAAGTTATCAGTTTTAGTCGGATGTTAAAGCTTACCTTTACAAGGTTGCTCAAGCGACAAACTTTAGTGTGAACGGATGTTCGAACTGCTTGCATGAAGAACACCCAGAATTCATTCAATTACTTTTATTTCATCTTTATTGCTTTTGTCTCAGAGTTATTTCATGGGGGTTCCCCTGAAGAGCCAACAAACAGAAGGAGAAGAACAATCTATGACGAAGAGGGATTCCCGGATGATGAATTTGACAGTGACTATGGTAATGAAGATGAGTATTATGGAGCCGGTGATGAGGAGGACATTCGTTTTAGGAGGCAACAGCATCAGCGTAGATATCAGAGACAATAACAACACGAAAATAGTCTCTATTGAACTGAATAGTACATCATGCAAATACAATGTTTTGATATGACTCATGCAGAACGGCCTCATAGTCCAGCATACATTGTGAACAAGAAGTGTTTCCCATGTAGATGTTGTTCTCTAGGTTTTGATCAACATGACTCAGAGGTGTAAAGCAAGACAATTTGCCAACCAATTCGCAAAGTATCTATTTGCTATATCGATTTTACTTTTAAAGATCTTTGAACTAGGTGAAAAGTAGAGCAAGGACAATAACAAAACAACATGTATAACAACTACACTGAACAAGAACTACTGCCACAAACGTACTGGATATATAACAAGAAGAGGGACCTCAACAACAACAACAACAACAACAACAACAACAACAACAACAACGATCACAGCTAAAACCCTATGGCAGAAAACAATAGTATGAATAATAAAAAGAAATTTTTTACGGGATATCTATCTAGTCTTGGCATATATTGGATTCAAAGTAGTCTTACGGTAGCTTCTGAAGCATTGCTTACAAGGAACTGACTTTGAAATGCTCCTCGTGTGCATACTTTCTAAAGCGTCCTGACCTTGTGCAAATGAACTTGGCCTTCTAAACATGATCAATAACATTGATCAAATTTAGCAGCAAAATCACCTACCTTGTCCTAGCGTATTAAACATTACCACTGTAATGAATATCAAAGCGATCTTCGCAGTAATGAACACTACTTGAGTAGCAGTGAAAATAAGGCCTGAAAAAATTCAGGCCTGTACTGAATTTGAACCCATGACCTCGATCTGCGATACTGGTGCAGTGCTCTACCAACTGAGCTAAGAAGTCAATTGGGATCACATACAGGCCTAAATTTTTACATTACTGCGAAGATCACTTTGATGCTTATACCTTGACCCGCAGTTAAAATATATGATTTTCATATATTTACAATCACTACCATTCTAAACTGACACCAAGAACCACAATTTTTAAGTTCTCGCATGCCTACTATTGCTTTTTGCAAGCTTAATTCTGTTTTCGTATACATATTCCTCTTGTAATGCAAAGCTGAGGATTCCCTCACCAGATTGTTCAAATTGAAGCATAACTTAATAAACACATTTTTCCTGCACTGAAAACGAGAGGGAGAGGAGAGCTGGAACGAGCTTTCTCCGTAACATTTCCGCAAGAATGACTTGTGAAAGTTTGATGCGGCGACAATTATGAGCCAGTAGGATGATCGGTTGAAAATAATTAATAAAGATAAACTAAAATAACACGCTATCAATGACTGCAGCCTAATTTCGCTATAAGGAAAGCTGAAAAAATTAACAGACCTTCGTATCGGGGAAAGCAGTACCACCAACATGCCACGAGCGGGGTGCACTGAAATGTCTAGGATTTCATGATACCGATGTCGAGGTTATCAAACAGCATTGCTACTTATAGATTTAACTTCCTAAAAGTGATACATGTTACCAAACTGATGACGATAAAAAATGCATGGGATCATTAGTTAACAAGAATCTCAGAAACAATTCGAGAACGTCAATTGTCACAATTAAACTTTTAGGAAGCAAAAGTCTAGGAGATTGCGTGACCAGAGAAAATAACCTCAAAATAGAGTTAAGACTTTAATTATCATCCACGCCCACAAATTTGTTTACTGGTAAATGTCGTGCTAAAGGCGGATACTCTATGTTTGGAAAACAAAGCGGGTGAAAAGCCGGTTGCAAATTGAAAATTATCGTTGGTCCTTAAAATCGATTTAATACCATAGTGGAATGGACTATGGATGCCAAAGCGAAAAAAAGCTGAACAAACTAAATATATTTCGAATATGCAAGAAATTTAAAACTATTTCATTTTTTGCATTCGATCTCCATTACCCTTAAATTAACATGTCTTCTCGTAATCGAACCTGTTTACTATTGAATGAAAAATTCTTATTGGAAACTGTTTTTGATAACTAAACTGCATTAGTTATTTATAACGACTCAGTAGTCGAAACCATCGGTGAAAGCCAAGATGAAGGACAGAAATTAATTCCACTTGAAAAGTGAACATAGGCCAGGATTTTTACTTACTTGTTGATGCGGTTTTAAAGCAGGATAGCCGTTCATCCGCTCATAATTTCTTCATTTTTTTTCACTATCTTTTGAGAATAGGGTAAGTAGAATAACAATTGACTCAAAATGCAATGATTTATAGCCTGATTTCCCCAAGACCACATTTACGAGATAGTTCCTCCACAAATAACTTTAAAAATGCTACGATGTGATTTGAGAATCCTTAAAGTTAAGATGGAAAATGTTGCCTGACGACCAGAACTTTTGTTTTAGGTTAATGGATGTAGATATTATTGAATAAGCTGCTAGAATTACCCAGCATAACTTAATATGATTCAAAACAAGCCTGAAAGGGGTTTCGTAGCCGCTTCATTTTTAGGGTTAAGCCAGGGTAAGAACTCTTCACTCAAATTAACAATAAAGGACCACTACGTTCCGTTTAAGCATAAGTTATTTCAACAAAGTCAATTGTGTACTTAATCGAAAATCAGTGAGCTAGGGCAATATTGTTATTATGACGAAGATTTATATCATATTATTTTTCCTGCTAATAACCTATTTCACTCGTTATGATATGAAGAAGGTTAGATTTTCCATGGTTAACAAACAAAAGCTTTATTTCCGTTTTGGTGTTGGCACTCTCACCTGCTCCACATGTAGAGCTTTGACGAAAATCCTATCCGAATGACAGATTCCACTGATACGTTTCTACTCTCACTACAAAAACAATAACAGGTTAACAGCAAATGCTCTTGTCATACAAGAGCCAATCAACTTACCACCTTTTCTTTTATATAAGAATATATTTTAGTTGACGTAATGAAGCTGCTGCTCTTTTGTATTCTCTCTACAAGTCTGGTGTGTTCAAGAGTAAAAGGTAGGTTTATGTTACTTTTTATTTCACAGCTTTTTTATTGGAAAGGAACAAAAATTTGGCCCATTTGAAAGGTCAAAATGGTTAATTAAGCATGTCGTTTGAACATTCTGTATGTAAAATATTTTACGGATGGTTAATCTACACATTGACCTTTACGTTGCATCCGACTATTGGAAAATTCTTAATTTTTTTAATTATTGCAAAATTATGAGAGTAATTTAACTTCTTTGATTCCAGCTACTCTTCAGAGAGATGTCATTACATACATGAACGTGTTTCGGCATTTGCACGCGGCTGGACCACTGTTGGTTGATGACGTCCTCCAGAAAAACGCACAAAATGCGGCCATGTTGTTCATGAAAGCCAAAAGCAAAGATAATGTTCCAATTTACAGATACAGTGCCAACTTCTGCAAATATAAGGGATCTGTTGTTGATTTGGATAAAACCTGTGTTACATCATGGTACGTATCGATGAAGTATTATGTCTGGTGTTATCCAAAAGCTGAGGGACAAGCTCTCCCGTTTGTAAACATGATCTGGAAATCTAGCACTAAAGCAGGAGTCGGGATAGCAAAGGACACAGATGGAACATATTACGTGGTCGTGTATATTGCGCTTCAAGATGAAAATAATCTGTTGAGGAACGTGCCGCCAGTAAAAAGTGAGTAATTCTAAATACCTATTACAACTTCTAATATTTTAAGTAATATTTCAAAAACGAGTGCGAGTGTTTCATCGGGATTTCCAAACACGAGAAAATTGATGAAAGCACGAGGCCGTAGGCCGAGTGCCGTTTATTGTTTTCGAGTGTTTGAAAACCCCGATGAAACACGAAGCACGAGTTCTTTAAATTGCTTCTCAATAGTGTATCATTAGCCAAGAACAATGAAAAAATTCTGACTGATTTTGGCATCATTGGGGTTTAACATTTTATCAAGCTCTAGGGTTTGATATTTCATCAAAGTATAGTGGAAAAGCCTCTGTCCAGTGTTTCATATCGGGGTTTCTAAACGCGCACATGTTGCCAAATTGGCGTATCGTGATTGGTTTGTAACTTGATGAATTATTAATGAGTTTGAGAAAGCAAATATTCTCAACAGATGTGATAAACCGTTTTTGCTTGCTTTCTCTGAGAAATTGATGTCATTCCTAAACGACTTCCCGGATAAACTCGTACTTACTGGTCCAGTTAGTGAGGAGTATAAGGTTTAATAGGGAAAGGGAGGAAATGATTGTGACAAAGTGGAAAGAGAGGCTTGATGGGAAATTAAACAATTATTAGTATTATTATCAAGTTATTTGCTCAACGAAATGTTTATCTCTGGTCGGTATTATTTTAATGCAAAAATGTAAGGTTGTCACTCACTTAGAGAGGTAAAACAACTAAACTATGATGCATTACAGTTCTGACTTTTTTAAATTGTCATTTGCAGCTGTCATGGAGGCAAGCCCAAAAGGTAAGATTTTTCACACATTGACACTATGGTTAAATCCATCAAAATTCTGAACCACTTCAAATCCCGCCATGGTCACCAACAACAACAACGAAGCAAATTATTTTCTGTTTTGCTTTACTTGATATTTATCATTGTAAATTCCTTCCTTTTTTTCTCTTTACATTTGTTTCAGCAAAATGCCCTGCAGGTTACTCAAGATATGAAACGTCTTGTTTCAAATATGAGACGACTGCGGTAACATGGGACGAGGCAGTGACTCGCTGCGCAAGAGAAAATGCGACTTTGGCCTCTATCAGAAATGCTAAAGAAGAAGAATTTGTAAGGGGGCTGCAAAAGAAAACTGGGTCAGGAGTGGAGACTTGGATTGGTATGAAACATTTGTCGTAGATAGGGTTTAGTTCACAACTTTGTTTTGTATGCTAATTTCTGCCGTGTTTGTTAGGAACGACTGGAAATTTTGTAAAATAGCTGATTTGAACGATAATTACGAATGAAAACTATTATTAAAGAATCCTCCACACTATTCTAATCGTGTTTACTATGCTATCAAAAAAACAAAAAGCCGAGCCTTTCTAACCCAAGCTGTTTTGAAACATTAATTCATATTCCGTTGTTCAAGTAAATCATATAATGTATTTTCCTTTTTAAATTTTAAATGCGTATCTTGTATGGTAAGAGACGAAAACCGCGTCTTACAATATGTCTTCAAGTTGTGTGTCCAAGTGAAATCAAATTATTACCAGGGGATTGGATACAAAAAATGACATAAAGGTACTTAACAGGTTTGCACGATAGTCTGCATGAAGGTAGCTTCAAATGGTTTGACGGACTGAAGTTCAAAAGTCACGTATGTGTTCCGGTAAATGCCAATGGCGGAAACTTAGAAAATTGCGTGGCATGGAGCATTAACAAACCCAAAGGATGCTGGGACGATAGACCATGCAACGAAAAGAGACCATTTACCTGTAGGATCCCTGTTGAAGGTAGAGTAAAGCTCAAAAGTGGATTAAGGGGGGAGTTTCATCTCTGTATTTTCCTGGATTTATTTTCTGTTACTGTTTTGTTTTGTAACTTTTGTGATGTCGGTATGAAGCGTGGCTTCACTTCCATGTATATGAAAGATCACTGTGACTTGTATTCCTTGAATTAGAATTGTCAAATTTACTTTAATTACCTAACATTTTTCTTTTTTGGTTTTAACAATATGTCGAGTTTCCGTCCATCGGCACATAAAAATATCTTAAAGTGCCCATAAACCCAAAATTTTGTTTTGCTTCATTAAATCTTTTTATAATTCTGAGCAAAATGGCGCAAAATTTTTGTTTTTGGTCGAATCTGGAATTTTTTATAAATTTTAAGTCTGGTTTTTTTCTTCCCACGACCGAGTAAAAGGGAGACTGGGACTAGTGACGTAAAACCCGGACAACAGAGAAGACGCGAGCTGGAGACGCGTAGTTTTCTTTTTGCGCCGTTGAAAACCATTTTTATTCGGTTGACATTTGTTTTCTGCGCACACGTTGATCAAGAAATGGCTTCGTACGACTTCATTCCGACCTCTAGTTCAGATTCTGAAGTCTCAGAAATGAAAGATTTCGACGTGGAAGTTGATGGTTTCTCCAAACTCGAGTTCTACGGCCAGCGATAAGGAAGGCACGCACGAGGCATATGGCGACGATCCGCTAGCGGACGAGGAATGGATAGAGTTGTATGAACGAGACAGAGAGGAGGAAGAGGTCCTTGAGAAGGCGCTCTAAAAGCGCCTAAATGGTACAGAAAAAGTCCGAGACTGGTAAGTTGATCGAAGTCACAACACGCGAAGCTCACAGTCCGGGTTTTACGTCACGAATTAAACTCGATTCATTCCCTTTCGGCAGGTTCCGCTGCTCGGTCATGGGTTTTCGAATCTCGATTTTCCGCCACTTTAAAAATTCATAGAAAATTTGGCTTTCAACCAAAAGCAAAACTTTTTGCGCCATTTTTAAGCAAAAAAAATGTTTAGGTATATGGGCACTTTAAATCATAGTTAACATGTACTGACGGACAGAGATAGCGTAAATCAAATTAGTCTGAAATAGCTAAAAATCGTTCGTCTGTCGCTATCATCTTTTTAATTAAGTTTTAAGGGCGTAACTCTCCTCTGAGACTAGGTTTACACAAGAGGAAATTGTTCCGGATTCGTGATGAATCCGAAACGTTTCAGTACCGGATTGATTTTGCCGTTTACACGGAAGTGGACGAATCCGAAATAAAAACTCCCCGGTTTGGCCGTGTCTCCGGAGATTTTGAATCCGGAATTTCAAGTGGGAACTTTGAATCCGATAACTTTTGAATCCGGAAAGTTTTGTCATGTAATCGCTTTTTTTCTCGAATCCGGATATTATTTTCGCCTGCAATCTTTTGAGTTTGCGGTGAAACCAAAATGGAAGATCTAGTGCTAACATTGCTGGCGGTCTCCGGTTGCCTAATCTTGTTGCAGGTTCAGGCGATAAATTTTATCATGTGTACCGCAGTATTTCTGAGGAAACGCAAATTATTATTGCAAGGAAGTTTAACGTCAGCCACACTTAATCGCCGACGACGTAGATGGCTTGGCATCTGTCCAGCTCAAATTTGCCTCAGTGGCATCTGGATCTACTCTAGCCTTTTTCGGGGGAGGCATTTTCACTGGGCTTGGTAACCATTCCATTTCGAATGTTCCCGGAGTTGTCGTTGTGTGTAAACGGTCAGGAATCCGAATATCCTTTCAGTGTAAACGCCTACGAATCCAAATACTCCAAAATTGATGAATCCGAAAACATTTACGAATCCGGAAAACTCTCCTCTAGTGTAAACCTAGTCTGAGAAAGTTAGGGGGAAATATTGTGAATAAATACGAGATTTTAACACCAGCTGAAGAACATAACTATATATGCCAGATTAGCGCTGAATAAAAATACACCCTTGGTTCCTAGCCTCAGAGCTTTGGAAACCCGATGTCCTATCAAAATTAATAAGACGAGATTTATATCGTTATTTACTTGAACAGGCAAATCAACTTACAGGACTGAGGTTTTGTTCAAGAAATTTCGTTGGAGAGCAAACTATAAAGATAAGAATTCAAAGGCCTACAGAGATCTGGTGAACGGTATCAGAATAACGGTATGGAAATAGTATAGTACAAATGTACACTTAGAAATCATGAAACCCTCTGACTGAACCATGGTCCCTATTATCACTCTGTACGCAGTCTACAGTTCATAATCCCAAAACTAAGTAACATTTAGCTGTCTATTTCAAACATGGGTATCATTTTCTTTGCCATTTTTTTTTTTTATTTGTAGATATAGAATATTTCTAATTCAATCGGTGCTATTACAATTTTAGTTTTCTTTTATATTGTCAAACACTTTTATCATGAGCCTCTGGCTCGATCGGGGGATTAGGCGACCACACTCTGTGTATTTTTTGACATGAAATATATATCCTTATCCATTATCCTTATCCGTACTAAGCTTGGAAGATTTTTCAAGCGTTAAATGAGCCAAACCTCACTCCCTTGCCTAGGACCTAAAATTAATGGATTGACCCCGGTAAACCAGACGTTACCATTTGAATTATTTCTCCTTTCGATTTTGAAGTTTAAAGAGATCTTCACACGGATGTCAGGAAAGAAGAAAGGTGGCTTCAGAACAGTTAAAGTCAAAGGTGTCAGGTATGCTGCTGAAATTCTGTCTTTCGCTTACTCTTATTCTTTAACATCAAGAAATGGTTAGATATTCTAGTCTTCTCGGATAGGGACGAATAAATGGAGGTCCCGTCTCCTGCAGGGTTAGGGGCAGGAGACGTTAATTTCCCACGCACGAGATTACTGTGTGATGGATGTCCTCCCCTGGGGTGGGATGGGTGGGTAACAGGACCCCCGTTGATACCAGTGTTTACTACACTGAAGGGGCTATCCTGTATAAATATAGATGTCTGTCTGTCTGTCTGTCTGTCTGT